CGCAGGTAGAGCAAGTCTAAGCAGCTTGTTTTTCTTGACGCCTATAGGTGAAACAGGTCACCCCAACCTAGCCGAAGAGCAAAGTTTGCCAAATATAATCGAATCGGGGGAATGCGGGCACTGGAGTTTCATGCAGCCTTCGTCGAGGTGTTGAGGGGAGAAAGTTTTCGGCCAGGAGAGGGGAATAGGGAGGGGGAACAATAACCACACACAGACAGAGACACACACACAGACACACACACACACACAGACACACACACACACACACAGACACACACACACACACAGAGACACACAGAGAGACACACACGCACACACAGAGAGACACACCCACACACGCACACATGCACTCACACACACACACACATAAAACACATGACACACAAAGAGACACAATCAGAGACACGCACGCACGCACGCACGCACACACACACACAGACAGACACACACACACACACACACGCTTAATTATGTATAGGCAAACCATGCGACACACCCATACATCAAAGGCAGGCGACAAAGACATTCAAGACCCCTTGCAAAAGTTTTGATGGCCCCACATTTCCCAAAACCTGCGGGGGTGAGTCGTGCAACAAATGTACCGCATATTGCCAGGTTGCATTGTGTGATCGCAAAGTACATCGTCGCTCGCTTCACATTTCTTTGCCGAGAAGGGCGGACATTGATTGTTGTGCACGATCTGAAAGCTCGCCTTCGTTCAGAAATGACATGAAATCACCCGTGGACAACACATCACTTTCTGGAGGGAAAATCCTAGTGCAACTTACATTGTAGTGTTGATGGAAAACGAGAGGTAAAGAGCCAACAACTGATCTCGTCATGCATCATGATGACTTGAGGTTTTGTTGTTTTACAGTTTCGGCGTCATCTTCACGCAAATGATCTCAGACCATTGCCGGTTGGAGACCATTGCGGCAACAGGAGACGAGAATGCTGTGCCTTATTGCAGCGACGATAATGCCCGCAGATATTTCCCGCACGTTGCAGAAACAATGTTGTCGCTTCTCATGGCTATTTCGGCGGGCGTGAGCTGGCAAGAGCTATTGGAGCCCTTGAGACGCGTCTCAGCATTGGCCCTCGCTTGCTACGTGTTTTATATAGTTATCACAGTGTTCGCTGTACTTAATGTTGCGCCTTGGCAGACATAATGGGACAAATTTTTGTTTTTGCAGTTCTGCGTCTTCAGAAATCAGTGCATGAAAAATAGATCTTGACTGGGAGCAGCTTGCTACTTTGTAGGGGTTGCTGGCACTTTGGCAAACCCCCGGCACCTGCACAAAATCAGTTTCATTCTTGTTTTGCCGAAGTATAGTCGCCCTGTGCGCCGGCATGGGGCAACAGCGGTGCCCCGTCCGCTTGGGGTCTGCCGGCACCCGAACAAAGTTAATTGGTTGGTTTTGCAAGGACTCAATTTTGCTAGTTGCCTTTCTGTTTCGCTGAAGTACACTCGCCCTGTGGGCCCTCATGGTGCCCTGTCCATTTGGGGGCTGCCGGCACCCGAACAAAGTTAGTTAGTTAGTTCAAAGACTCAGGTAACTGGTGTGTTCTGCCACACGGCGATCGAATCTGCACAGGCAGACAAGGAAATTGCCGTCATGGTGCAAATGGAAAAGGAAGCGGCGCATGTGCCCTGGACGTCATATCACGGCTTGCTTTGTGGATGTAGTGTTTTGCCCCCTTCTTTCCAGGTACGCGGGTTGAAATGTATGTTCTCCGAGATGGATGCAGACGGTTCGAACATGGTGAGTGTCGATGAACTCAAGGCGTCGGAGGGCAGCACTTTATGACTACTAGGTATATGCGAACACAACGGCTTGTTCCGCTTTAACCGCGCCATGCTTACGAAACGTTTTTCGTGATCTTCGTTCACCATGAGCTTTTGCCACAGCATGGCCGCTAAGTTTTGACCGTTTGGCATGCGAAGGGTTCGACACAAGGCCTGTGAGCCCGCTAGGGGTGCCAGCATGCAGCGAGCGGCCTTTGGAGATTCGTGCGCGAGGGTGAAAGGTGGCCGCCCTGAAGTTTCGCTCCGAAAAGTTAATCTCCGGGAGCCCCAAGACAATTTCTAAACAGACTCCTAGCAAAATCGGGTACCTGGGCCTGTATCGAAACAAGCGGCACCCGAAAAAACCCTCATTTGACTCGTAAAGCGACTCCTGTGTATGACTCTCATGGTGCTGCAAAAGACTGCCATTGATAGGTGCCTTGGTGGTTCGAGTCTTTATGTCCGCTGGTGTAGAGGCTGCACTGAACACGATGAAGCTGGCGAGCTTCCTGGAGTCCATGGAAATCTCGACCAAAGATGCAACTCAACTTCAACTGTAGAGTGCGACATGCTCACTTTACATGGGACCTTGCAATTGCTTCATTCAAGCTCTTTGGAATTTAGTCTGCTGCTACATGTGGCAATTCCGTGTGGCTCTTTGTGCGCACCTGCAGCTGTAGGTGTGGACACTTTTCCGAATCATTGACAACGACCAAAGTGGTCTCATTGATTTGGAGGCGCAAGCTTTGTTGAAATGTGCTGCTTAATGCTTCATAGCACGGGGGCTTAGGGTTTGGATGCAAGAAGGGTGTAGGGCTTAATGTTGAGGGCAAAAGAGTATCTGGAGATTGGGGCGGCGGACCGACATGGGATATAGAGGTAGATGTATGCATAGGTTGTATATATATATGTGTATATCTTAAGCCCCATGAAGAAGAAGCATCAGAAGAAGATAAAACAGCAGATAGATGAGGAATATGAGAGAGAAGAGGAAGAGGGAGATAAATCGGGAGGAAAGGGTGTCTTTCCTTTCCCCCTGCTTACGAGGCAGAGAGGCGAGAGTGTGAAGATTTCTCCTTGCCCATGCACACGCCTCTTTTCTTTTTTCTAAAAATGTAGACAGGAAAGAGGAGTGGGAAGGGAGACATTGGGAGACGTTGGCCTTCTGGATGGTTCGGTCTGGTCCCTGGGGTGGGACGTGATAGCGACAGGATGGCTCAGCCACCGATACGCGTTTGAAGAGGCTAAGCAAAGGAAGCCGCAAATAATCAAGCAGGGCGTGAAAGGTCGCATTTGTGATGCTTTGATGGGCTCTAGAACCTGCGCCCTAAAAACCCTAAGCAACAAAACCCTGGTTTGCAGACTGTTGTCAGACAAAACCTCGCTTCGTCATAGCCCCGGTAGAATTACAGGCATAGACACCAAAAAGAGGAATAGAGACCACAAAGAGGTAGACAACGAAGGGGGCACAAAAGCAAAAAAAATGTAGGTCCGGGGGGGGGGGGGGGGGTAGCATCTATATCTATACATACATACATACATATGTGTACTACTTGTGTTATGTTGCTTCTTTGTTGTGTTTTGTTTGTGATCACGACGCACAAGTTACTGGTGACGTCTTGGTGGTGTCTTGGTGAGGTGAAGTGAGTGAGTGAGCTGTGCGTGATGCAGCCGCTTTCGAAGGGCATTATGGCCAGAAACATATTCATTTGAAGACCTTAAAGAAGCAAAGAGGCCACCTTCGCGTGAACGGGGAAACCTGGGCCTCCAGAAGGATAAAACAGAACTCCATTCGACGGAAAAATGACATGTTCCAGAAGTACAGCCGTGTTGAAGGGCAGTGTAGGAAGTATGTGCGAAGGATGACGCAAAGAACTAGAACCCCCTGAAACAATGACGTGGGCGCCAAAATGGTTTATACAAGGAAGGACACTGTGGGCATGGTCTGCTAGTTTGCTATTCTAGGCAAGCCAATCTCAACTTCAAGTGCAAGAACAACATACGTACAAGATCGCGCAAGCAGATTGTTTACATCGACCATGGCTGTGCTACTGCTGAGCCCATACTGCCCCCTGCTTGTGAGGAGTTTGTTCAAGGCTGCATGCAACTGCATGGGCCAGCAAAGAGCGACTTGGCAATTTCTGTTGAAAGAAAGATCTGGGGAAGGATCGACATGGGGCCTGAGAGCTCTTGCGACTGCCGTCCAGCCGAGCGCTTGCATGGCAATGGCAATCCAAGTGTTCCAGCTGAGGCATTCACATCGCAAAAATGAGCCACGAGAACAAGATCACTCGCCAAGCCATCAAGAAGCTGACTACAAAAATGGACGACATCAGCGTCCAGCTAAACAGTATCCTTCAGGAAGCATAAGAACTTGCGTGAAATTGGATGTTTCACACGTTTTCCATGTATGACGTACCCGCTGGTACAAGTATGGTGTTGCGTTGCCCACTACATGTGTAATGGCCGTTTCGGTGTTCATCGCTTTGAGACTGGGATGCCACGTAGCCATTTTGGCAACTCACTGTACAAGCCCGCGGGAGTTAACGTGACATGCTGGTGCTGGCATTGATCTCCATGGCTCAATTTGCCATGACATTTAGAAGACGAGGACGGTGCATAATTAGCATGCGGGAACCATTGATTTCCCGGGCTGTTGCAGCAAAAGCTTTGAGTGCAACCTCAGCTTCGGCAAAGCGCAATGATGAAATCATTCTGCAATGCCCATGACGCGAGGCTTCAGGAGAAAAAACAAAAGACATTGCTTTCTGTATCGTTTGCTGAAGCATGCAGCGGTGAGTCTCGGCGTCTCGGTAGAGCCCTTGCAGATTGCGGCAGTTGCTGGGCAGTTGCTAATGTTCGCACGTCGCCACAGCAGCACACAAACCCTCGGCAGCTAGCAGAGCCTGGAAGAGAGAAAATTCAATCTCAGCGCTGATTTCGAGTTTTGGTTGCCCAAGACTGCGGCAGTCTCCTGGTCCACGGTTTCTTCAGAGCTACCCAACCCCACCAAAACAAAAATGTCACGCACTCGAAAACTGAGCTCCATGCCCTCCTTGGGAGAGCAGGGTTTGGAAGAGAACGGCCTTTCGAATGTACATCAGTCACATCAGCTGAGCGCAGGTCACGGCATGATATGTCAGCACATGTCAACGATGCATGAGTGCACGGGAGCAGGGTTCATGCCAGCTGCGCAGTTCATGCCGATGCTGAGGATCAACGCTTGTGCTCGGCGCTTGCTCGATGTGGTTACGAACATCATGACCTTGCTACGGCCCCAAAGTTGTTGCTCCTCATCCTGCTACAGCCCCAAAGTTGTTGCTCCTCATTCTCATTTGGGTTGCGAAAAGTGTGTCTGCCAAGTGGTGCGAAACAAGTTCATGCCTTAACAGTGATGACGCCAGAAAGCCGCAAGCTGCGCACTTAATGCCAACGTAATTGTAATGATGTGCGAAGGTCCGCGCTTGTTCAGGGCAAGCGGACATCTTTGGCAAGGCCACACGAAGACTCATGTGGCTGCATGCACTTTAGAACTTCGTTGCTGACGCGGTGTGTTTGTAGTTGCCATCCTCCGAACCGTCGTCACTTTTGGACCCTGCCACCTTCGAAATTCAAAAAGGCAACCTCTCTTTTTGGAGGTGTAATCGTCATCGTCCTGGAAACTATCGTTTTTTTGGACCCTCGTATCTCGCAAGTGGAAATAGTCATGTGCGCCCTGCGCATCGTAGCGCCATTCCCAACCAAACGTGTGGACGGTGACAGGGATCGCGAGGGTCGTTATCGCCATCCGTCCTCGGCGTGGCACTCACTGGTTGTCACCTTATCATGTCAAAGCATGTCGGCAGTCACTTCCTTTTCCTTCGGCTCGACCTTGTACGATTGCAGCTGTAATATTGCAAAAGAAATTATTGTGCCAGCCCTGTTCTTCCACAGACTGCGTTGCTGTTCCTTGACTGGTGCCGGCCGCCATCACCTGCCTGCCTTAAATGCCTCGTCATATAATTCCATATAACCTGTGCATACCTGCGCCGATGTTTATGATTATAGTGGAGGTGATAAGGACGGACTTTCGTTACTACTCGACTCGCTTTCGCCACGTCTGCTGTCTGCCTATACAGCTCACCTGCATACACCTGTTCGATGCCCTGCAGCTGTCGATATATTTAGGAGATTATGGGCGGCCTAGGTCTAGGTGGGCAAACGAGCACAACACGATCCCAAATACAGCACAGACTGCTGAATGTTTTGCTCACCTGGAGGGACCCGGTGCAGATTGCCGGCATCTTGGAAGAGGCCTTCATGCGCGTGCTTGTTCTACTACCAGTTACTATCTTCTCGGGTTATTTGATGCTGTCTAAGCATTAAACGCTCAAGCGGTGACCGCCTCAGCGATGGTGTGGAGACACGGGTCACGGATCCAGGCGCGATAGCCGCGCCCTGGAGGCCTTTTGCGAATTTTCTGGACCATCCGACGAACAAGACACGTTGCACGGGTTCCAAGATATTTCAGTTCCAGATTCCTAGATTCCCGCAGGTCCGCGTGGGTGGGTATGGACGTGTTCCGAGCGGGTCACCCAGGGTAAAAAGCGACAAAGCAGACCGCGGATATCTTTGGAGGGGGAAGGGTGGGTGGGCCAGTCGCGGCTAATGCAGACTTCCGGAGGCCTCCATTTTGGGCAGATTACAGCCTTATTTCTACTTAGCACCTGCCCATGGATGCTTTTGCCGGGGATGCGCATCTCACATGACTCACATGTAGCCGGAGCAGGTACGCCTTCTTTGCGCTGCGGCCGTGGACAAGGCATCGCCCTTCAAACCACCGCCTTGACTTGGGGCACTTGTGTCTTGTGTGCCGCTTTGACACAGGCAAATCGGCCTTTGAAAAAGGCGGAGGTCCAGCTTGTCTTCGACATCCCGGAGCAGCCTGAGACCTAGAGTGTCCTGAGTCACACACTGGCAGAGCTTTTGCAGCGGCCGTATCAGATTGTTCTGTTCGAGTGCTGTTTTCCTTGTGCTCTTGACGAAGCCTGGAGCCAAGGTTGCCAATCATCGAGGCGCGCATCCCGTTTGCTCAAATGGTTGGGGTGCCTGCAGGAGAGCAAGATGCAGTGACTGCCTGCTGGAAGCCATCTCAAACGTTGTAGAAGACAGGGCTTGCCCTTCTTGTGCCTTTCAGCTGCAGCTGCTGAAGTTTGTGGGGAGAACGAGCACACAGCTTTATATGTGTTGTAGAGTAGGATCGGCTTCAAGGCATGCATCAAGGGCTTTGCAGCCAGACGCTGCGTGAGCTCAACAATGAAACAATGATGTCACGCAGTTGGAACATGCCAGGCAGATGCCCATAGATGCACGCAGATGTTGTACAATCTGGTTACAAATGCCTCACGCTCAGAGTCAAGACTTGGTAAGGAGTTCTCGAGGTGTTGCTCCAGAGGAGGTACTGGGTCCATGGTGTCACACTCAACTACATGTTCGTCTCCCAACACACTGAGGGTTTGAAGGCGCTATGGTCGTTACAGGCTGGACAGAATTTTTGTCGGCAGCTTCAGCACGCAATCATCAGCTCATGTTACAGCTCCAGCTCAGGGAGCACGAGCATGTTTAGCACTGTTTGTGGACGCTTGTGGCGATAAGGCTCTGAAGTACACGTGGCAGGGCGAGGTGCACGTCCCGCGCTTTACAGGAGCAGTAGTTAGGTGGCTCACAGTTCACATTGGCAGTATTGAGCATGCAGCACCCATTGCTGCAAAACAAGCCTTTCTCTTGGTTGCACAAGGGAGTAGCAAGACAGCGAGGTCACGGCTTCTGCAGACGACGAACAGCAAATGGTAACTTTGCAAGTTCGAGACACAGGCAAGGGATTGAGAGAGTCACCCCATGAGTCACCGACGCCGGCGTCCTCCAACAGGGGAACCTCGCCAAGCCTGAACAGGCATTGGCATTGGACAAGCAGCCCGTGAGCGGATATTTCTGCCTTTCGAGCAGGAGGACACACGACACCATGCCACATCGTTTCACGTGCAGCTGCAAGCTCTCCAAAGAATGCTATAGACTAGTTGAGAACACTGAAGCGAGGACGTAGCACAATATGTGCAGCTTCAGTCCTCAATTCCAGGACCAAAGTGACTCGCGGCGCTACGAGGGTCTTGGCCTCGGCCTGGCGATCTCCCATGCTGTGGCGGAGAAGCATGGAGGCACGCCTTGGCATCAAGAGAGGCTGCACATGGCTTCCAGCACAGAGAGCACGTGACTAGATTTTGAAGGAGCTAAGGAGCGATAAGCAAGCGAAAGCCGGAGCACTACTCTCTCCTTTGGAGACTCAAGAAGTGAAACCCCAAGCAATGACAACAAGAACATCCGAAGAGCAGGACCTAGAACTACACAACATGAGACAGAACAAACCTAATTATTCTGCTTGTATTCTTGATTGGGTTTCGTTGGTGGCGTTTGTGAGGCATGCATTCTACACGTTATTCTTCTGGCAACATCTGCAAGCTCTTGGTGGCAGGCAGCCTCACTGTTGAGAGTGAGGCCTGCGCGAGGAGTCTGTAGGGCTAAAGTTGGCTGCGGATACCGAATAGTCAGCGATTAGTACAAGAGTGTGGGCTCTTGCCGCTGATTGGGGTTCACCGTGACAACTCATGACTGCTTGGCTATCTCCTGCTTCAAGTTTACTTTTTTGGTTCACTTTCAGTTCAGGTTGGCAAAGGCTCGAGCTTCAGAGTGACGTCTTCCTGGCAAGATTAAAGTCTCGACGTTCCAAATGTCGCTGTCACCAACTAGACTTGAAGCCGAAGAGGGCCGAGAGTTGTGCAAGAAGTGCCGTGCTTTACTGGGAAGCATGCGGTCCACACCCCACAGTATGTCCTCATCGTGTCACCAGCAACGCACCATTCACGTGTGTTGCCCTCTGTTTCCCTCCACGCATCTCCCCGCGGCCAGGAAAGCAGAGTTTTCTCATGCATTCAACGGCACCGGCTTCAGGAAGTTAGACGTGCATTCAGAAAGTTGTCAAATGGAAGTACTACAAGAAGAGCCCTTAAGAGCTCTGCAAGTCTGCAAACGTGGGAATTTGGCAAAGCTGTGGCTTCACGGTGGAAATCGGGGGAGTTTTAAAGATTGGGTTGATGGCGTTGAAGCGGCTGATGTTATCTTTTGTGCCAGGCTGCCATATCAACCGCCCAAGCTGCAGATGAGTGCTTGGGACGAGATGCTGCCCAGCCCTTGAGAGCATCAATTAAGCTCCCGCAGCACGGAACGCGCGCTGCGCCTCAAAACGGTCAATGATAGTCAATGCTTTGCGGCACTTGGTCGACGTGGACCGCTCCAACAGTTGATCTTGTAACTTGTGGAGCATGCGGCGCGTTTAGAGCAGCTCGGAAAATCCGGTGTCTGCTGATGTTACGTCTGCCATTTCTCTAAGGGCTGAGGACGAACAGGCCGAACAGGCCGAGCAGGCCGAGCAGGCCTCGGCGAAGGCCATTTTACCTGGCGTTGCTCTGGACCATGTGGAAGCCACATCTTGCGACAGTGCTGCGCAGGCCAATGGCGATCCAATCGACAGGACAAGCAATGAGCTGGTCCCAGCCAACTTGCTTACATGCTGTGTGCTTTCCGCTTAAAGTGGCATCCTCATTGAGAGGAGGTCTTGGCCAGCGGCAGATTTTGAGGGTGTGGGGTTCGACATGATTCGACCAGTAACAAGGGGGGCCCTCACTCAAGGAGTACCCGTTGGCTCACTAGATGTCACATGATATCACTAGAAGGGCATTTCCTCAACTGATTCTGTTTGGGTTCACACACATGTGCGTCGAGGTCCAGCAGCACGGGGAGGCCTCGTTTTTGCGGTGTTGCCAGCTGGAGCAAACACAGCACTCACCGAAGATGTCTGCCCGCGTGGGGCCCACTCAACAAGGTGACAAGGCGGCATCTTGCCCAGTTGTCTGGCACTGGGTACGTCCTGGCTCGGAGCTGAGCGCGACTGCCTGGCTGTCTGAACCTTGTTGGGGCACCTCAGATTCACCTGCAAGCAAGTCGACTTGCTTGGGGGCTTGCATATGTCACGTGTACCTCGTGTTGCTTCAGACAACTGCACCATTTTACAATTACGCACCACGGACACAAGGATGGTGCAGTGCACCATCCTTGTGTCCGTGGTGCGTAATTGTAATTTTGTAATTTGCCAGTTGCAGGATGTGACGCTATCATGTGAGGTCGTGGATGATGACCAGCAGGCCCGTCACTACGTGCCCATCTGGTCGCATTCTGCTCTACAGAGTCATCTCGTACAGCAGGTTGTGTGCAGCAGCAAGTCAAAGCCAGTTCATCAGCCTTGCTGGATACGGATCATGTCAGCCAGCGATGAAGGTACGTGACGTTCTTGAGAGGATGCAGGCTGAATTGCAAGCTACACTGCGTAATCCATTCCGAGCCGCACTGGGGGACCTCCGCATTTCATTTTGCTTGAGATTGGTCATAAGACCGTCATGGACCCGAACCTACAGGAGCGAAGCACCGTGACATGTTTGCAAGGCAGAAGGGAGGTCTATTTTTTTAAGGGTTTTGTCGTTTTTTTTTGTTTTTTTTTGTTTTTTGTCCTTGCTACTGGTAAACCCTAAACCCTAAACCCTAGACCCTCGACCCTAGACCCTAGACCCTAAACCATAAACCAAACCCTAAACCCTAAACCCTAGACCCTAGATCCTAGACCCCTAGACCCCTAGACCCCTGACCCTAAACCCTAAACCCTAACCCCCTAGTCGAAACCCTAGACCCCTAAACCCCTAAACCCCTAAACCCTAAACCCTACAACCTAACCCTAAAACCTAAACCCTAAACCCTAAACCCTAAACCCTAAAGCAAAAAATAAAAAAAAACCCAAAAAAAACAGAATCCTAATTTAATTCTCCGGCCAGGCAGAAGTCATCGAGTGCGCAAGCAGCTGTTGGCTCAGTTTTTGCGCAGAACTCGTGCCGTGTCGTGAATATAAGACGAGTTCTGTTCTTCGTCGCCAGGAGATGATCTTGGTTTCTTTCACCGATTTGTCCTACCAGTACCTTTGCTGTCTGCCATCCTTGCGCACAGCATGCAAAGCACAAACCCGCCATATTTGGAGCAACCCTGCCATGCCAGAACAACCTTACAGATGTGGTAAGTTTCGCCAAGACGGCCAGGCTGGCCATGCTCGGGTTCCGGCTTATGCCTAGGTATCTCGCGGCACTCAGGTCACGAGTGCATGAGCCAGCTGGAGCTCAATCACTTGAAGCCTGCGCTCGTCATTGTGGCCGCTTGACCCGCGCAGACTTTGCACATGTTGAATTTGCAGAGCTGCCTCTGCACAGCTTATGCTGGACTCAGGATGTCATCCTGTCCGATGGCACCCAGGCATATCTGCATGCAGCCTGTTCTTTTGGTCAGGAGTTCAAGGCACTAAGGCTCCCCGCCCTCCCACCTACGACCTACGACATGTTGTCATATGGCTTGCAGGAAGGGAGATTGAAAACAAGACAGGCAACAAATTACATTGAATCATCGGGCCCTGGTTCTACTGAACTTGAGAGTTTTTGGGTTCAGTCCAACGCAGACTCTCCACCAGGTCTAGAGGAGCTTGGGAATTCGGGAATTTCGATCAGCGCACATTCAAAGGCTCACACAGATCAGCCGTCGACCAGTTGGCTTTGCGTGAACTGTTGTATCGAACTGATGTCGTCATATGCTGTTCCTTGTTATTACATGCTGTTGCCTTTCTTTCCCTCGTCCTTCCAAGCAGCCGTTTTGCTTCAAGTGGAGTGTGAGCACGCCTCAATGGCGGTGGTCTAAAGGGCAGATGCCAGCTGCAGAGATGGACTCCGAAGAGTCGTCGCCGTTGGCGCTAAAGTTCCCACTGCGTGATGCTTTGCAGGCACTTCAAGAGTCTGCCAATGGTCCCCCATCTGTGCGGACGGCCCTGATGCACTCCGCTTCAGCAGGTGCAAGTGGGCCCTACAAGGTCGGCCAAACTGCGAAAACTCGAGCTTTGAGGAAGATCGGTCGCATCAAGCGGCGTGGCGAACACCTTGGGGGAGGCTACGCCGAGCAGCGCCCCATGGGCACGCCGCGTGCACCACCAGAGTGCGATCGGCCAAGATCAGTCCCGAAGTCGGTGCCATCTGCGGTGAGCAGGAGCAGAGTGGAGATGATCCAGTATGCCCAGGATGTGGCCATCCATTCTTGGCCACACGTGCAAAAGTCGCAGTCTATGCCAGAGTCTTGCCAGCAACATGTAAACGCAGTTCATAAGTCGCAGACTGGAGTGACTGGAGAGCTGTTTGTAGTCGAGGAGGCTGCACATGCTGCACGTCAGAGGGCAGGGCACGTGGTCGCTTGTGATCTCCTTCAGCCAAGGACCTGACCCATGCTTCTCAGATGGGTTCCTCCAGTAGCAGCTTTGCCAGCGAGATTCGGCCAACGTGGACGTCTGCCGCAAGGGCAGTGCTGGGTCATGGCCGGCGCCAGGCAACACAGCAGTCCAAGCATGTGAAGAGTTTAGAGGACCTGGAGAAGGCAGACTTGACAGAGCTGCCTCCTGCAGGCAGGAGATGGAAAACACGTGAACACACAGCAGTCCATCAAAAGTACAGCGGCAACCCTGTTTCTTGCCCATGAGTCACCATGTTGATTGCCGCACAGGCCTCTCACGAGATTCTTCATGGTGTGGTGCAACTTTAGCAACCCAGCCTGGCCTGCCACGCCCCGTGAAAGATTGGGCTGCTCATCATTGAACTGAAGACAACTTTTGTGGGCGTTCACCGGACACTTTACAGGGCAGACGTATATGAGAATTGCCTTCAACTCGCTGCAGCTGAACTTTTTGCCGCCCCCCCCTCCCCGCCCCTTCGGCCTGCGCAGCCCGAAACAGCCGTGCGCCGAATCGCAGGCGTGTAGCGGAATTAAGGGAACGGGGTGACGTGAAGTGAGAAAAAGAAATAGACCGAGAAAGAGGGAGAGAGAGAGCGAAGGGCGCGCTCGTCCCCGACCCTTGAGCCCAGCCGAAGAAGGAAAAGAAGAAGTAGAAATAGATCAATAAGAAGTAGAAGTGTACTTCGTGCGAGAGAGAGAGAGAGAGAGAGAGAGCGCGCGAGAGAGAGTGCATTCAGACCTCTGAGATGCGTCCATCTGGGCGGCTCCCGTTCGGGGAGTCATGCGTGCAGGGAAGGAAGAAAGAAAGAAAGCATATTGTAGTTTTATGAGCCACCCAAAACATGGTGGGGCAGCATGGCGGGTGGCTGTTCTACAAGGGTGTTGAACTGAGAGAGACTTGCCTGTTGAACCGGGGCGGTGGAAGGGAAATGGAGGGATGGGCCACAACCCTGGGAGGCGCCAGTTCCTGCGGCAGAAGGAGAGCAGCGACAGACAAACAGGCGGTGAAGAATAATAAGAAGAAGCAGCCGAAGAAGACGCCCCCACAAAAAACGATTCAGAAGATCACATGCACTATGGCGGGTGCAACAACTTGTACTTACCCTGACAAGTCCACATGTTCCGCTTTTTTTCCATCTCACCAGTTTTCATTCGGCTGTCTGGCGCGAAACTGTCCTTGGAAAGTCTGCTTGCACAATAAGGCAAGTACAGGCTTGGAGTTTACTGATGGTGGCCTCGGTATCGGTTCGCGTGCCTTGACTGCATCATGCTCTGCTTCCTCGGTGAAAGCTATGGCTTTGCGGATCACGTCAGGTGACAACCCGGAGATCAAAAACTTGGCTGCGCGATCTCCAGGCCCCAGATCGTACGATCACATTACGCGTGTTTAATTTCGTGTCGGCATGTTTTCAGGCATTTTGGGTATACCAACGGCATGGGTATTTCTCAGAATAAGCTATTATGGGAACGTCCAAGAAAGGGTACGACCCTACTTTTTGGGAAACCCCCGCATCAAAGAGACCGAGACTCCATGGGATGTCGCCTTAATCACTTCAGCCCGGGGTGCGATTTCGCTCTCTTGTGTAGCGTGTTGGAGTGGTGATTGGCCTGGTGTGTACGTTTCCGATTCGTTGAATGCTGCAGGTGGTTCTTACAGTAGTTGTGCGACAAGGCCGCCGCCCTCACACAGTTTGAGAGACATGCCGACATGCCCAACAGCAAAAACCCAGCATACAACGGCGATGCGTAAGGTGCATTTACTTGCAGAGCGCGCACACTTGTCATGCCGATAATATGGCTGCATGCGGGCTGATGGTCTGACTTCGGTACTCCGCAGCGAGTGCTTCGGGGTGTTGTGACGCAACATGCCGGCGGTACACAAAAGATGTTGCCTCGAGACGTGCACTGTACTATACTGTTCGAACCCGGATAAATTCAGCCACGTGAAATTGTTGACATACGGCTGGGTGGGGCCCGCTTTGGTCAAGCAGTTTAGTGGGGCTAGGACAAAAGCGAAGCCATTCCTGTGCATTCCTGTGTTTGTACGGGTCGTACTTACATGCGCATCGAGCAGCAAAACGTGCACGCATTATGGCTTGAGGGAGCATCGTCTCACCAGAGCAGGAACATAAGTTTGCAGGAACGTGCTCAACATGCAATGTGCGTTTGCCTTCGCTGTTGCCCCTGGTCTTCCCTGCAAGGTTTCGTTTACACCGTGCAGAGCGGGAATGTGGGTCTTTGGAGCCGTGGCTGCACTTTACGTAGAAGGGTATTAGGCCAAGCGAAGATTTCGGCAATGTCAGAGTTGTCGGTTGGGCGGAGCTGAGCGACTAGGCTAGGCGCATGTTGTTCTTTCCTAAGCTGCTGGAGCCCTTCCAAGAAAAAAGGGCACCAAAGATGGACCGTCCGGTTCTTATGGATATCGGAGCACTGCAAGGATGGCACAAAGGAAGCTGGAAAGGTAAAGGAAAGACAGTGCCAGCAAAGGAAGAATCAAGGGTAGGAAAAGAACTCACGAAGTAGTTGCCGCACATCAGACATGGCTATGGGCTTGGACGCCTCCATGAATGCCGGCAGAACTGTTTCCTGGAGAGGCTTTGCTGCTGCATGATTTGTGAAGTCCATGTGTGTGTTGATTAGCTTATACAGACTCGACCTGCGAGGCTTGTTAGAGGGCGCCAGCACCTGACAGTTTCACAAGCGGTGAAAGTCGGAGAAACAAAGTCAGGAAACAAAGCAACATAGTAATCATCAGGCATATGTCAGGAGGCGCAACAGATCCAGTCAGGAAGCACAGCAGTGGTTGAAGAAGCCAACCACGAGAACCATCGAACGAGTTATTGTGTTTCGGAGCTAGAGGGTGGAAGTTAAGCGAATGCCCTGAGATTCTGTCGAGAATTAATGGATATTTTCAGAGAGATGGTATGATATTCATTCGGGTCATCTGGGTCTACAAGCAGGTAACATCATCAGTGGTCACCATGCAGCCTGTGACTTCTTAGGACGTGCAGCTTCTCGAGCCGTAGTTCATTGTTGCCCTCGGCCTCCCCCCCCCCCCCCACAGCTAATTTGGAAATTCCATCTTGGTCAGCGCATGTTGTCTTCACAGGCACTTAGGTTTCTGGAAATTGGGACTTCAAGCGTGCTTGAGCTTGTGTCCAGAGGCGCAATGAAGCACCTCAGTTTGGAAGGGTCTTGGGAGAGGTCATTTCGTGCCCTCACGAAAGTACCCATTGTGAGGACCATGCATGGGGTTACAGGAGAAGGGCCCGTAACGGGGAGTGGTTCCGAAACCCTGTAATATTGTGCTGTAGGTTCTTTAAACTAAATCGGCCTCCTGCAGTGCTGTGATGCAACTCACTCCATTCTTGGTGAGATTAATGAAAGTTGGTCCGTGGTACTCTGAGTACTCAATACTATGGGGGCTGCTCCAAGCTCGCGCAAATGGGCAAAGTGTCGGGACTCAGGAACTCATCAGCCTCTCTTCCAACGAAGCAGCCCTTGTCGTCACATGGCTGGAAGCCAACGTGTCGCAACAAGCAACGTGCAAGACCCTCCCAGCCATGGCCCCGCCATTCCAAGGCAGCACACGTCATCAGCCTCAGCTCGGTTGGGCACACGCGACTTGCCGAGATTTTTGATTCTATTGAGCTTTTACTCACTGTAGGTTGGGGCATTGCGGCAGCCTAGCATGCTAGTAAGAAAGCAGTGTCACCCTCTAAGGCAGAGATCCTCAGGCGCGCTATGAGAGTTACTCGGAAAAATGGACGGTTCACGGTTGAAGAGTCAGACTTATGTTCGGAAAAGGGGGGGGGGGGGCTGGCCGTCACTGGCCTGAAGCGTGGAAAATGCTGAAAAAGGGCCGGCCGAATGCCTTGAATTCAAAAACTCCCTGCGAAGCTGGGAATACTGTAACCCGGGGGATGTTGCGGCAAATCGCAGTGCCGAAGCGACGTGGCTTAGCGCTCGGGTGCACCAAGGGCGGCCAGGGCCTGGCTACTATGAGGTTCCTGGCTTCACCGAGGCAGGAAGGGCTGATTTGTGAGGAGAGGTAACGCTTAGAGTTCTCATGTGTTCACAGCACGCTAGCCGCTAGCCGATCGAGTTTGGATGGTTTCCGGCTGTATATCGACAATGTGGTCGGCTTAGCGGTGGCAGCAGAACATCAGTAGAACTATGGACAATGAACCTTAGCTCATCCGCACCGAAGGAGCTTCTGAGGAAGGTCGCGAAGCGACCTGGCTTCCAACCGCTGCATGCCCAGGTCGGTAAACGAGGTCGGTAAGCAAATAGTCAGTTGGCAAGTGTTGACACCAGCGTGAAACATGGATGCGCTCGCTGTCCGGCCATAGGGAGAACAGACGCAGCAAGCAGCATGATGTCAGCGCCTCCATCTGCAGAAACCACCAGGTTGTCCAGGGTTGAAAAGTAAAGATTTGGTGAGATGGAGTTTTGAAGCTCGGGTTCCATGACAAAAAGCGCACAACTGGCGGTCTGAATCAGCGAGCTTAAAGCTTGTACAGCGCAGCTACCCTCCTCGTGGTCGAGAGCTCAGCCGACCGAGCGGCATCATATGATGGCATCATGAACCATGTATCAGTGCTTCACAAGCCTCTGTCTTCGGTCATGGTTGATGCGTTCTTCATCGTCTCGATGCAGCTACATCGGCGAATGCCGACAAGCGGCAAGCTTCAAGTAAGCAAGTGGTGCTGCCAAGCACTCAAATCTAAGCAGATAGCTTCAATCAGAGGGGGTTTCAATGGCATGTCTTGGACTTTTCTTATCACATCATCTCCTTCATGCGCGTGCCCCGGCCACTAGCCGGGGTCGGGGGACAAGATGAAGGTGCCGGTTTCCTCTTGAGCAGATCCCCTCTGGCAGGTCCCTGTGTTGGTTCTCTTCTAATTCTACCCATCTATACAAATAATAGCCGCAATAGCCTTCTTTGCTGGATTTGCCTTTAGAGGAAATGCAGTTTCACAGTGCAGCAGAAGCGTCCTACCGCCGTCGGGCAGTTCAGTACAGTTTGAGTTGTGTATGGGAAGACAGCCACGGCGGGCATGTGGATGTGCTGCGTCTCACCTGGACGAAGTCACGAGGTGCAAGTGTTTACATAAGCGTGAATAAAGCAGCAAAAGGACCGGAGACCAACGACAGGAAAGGTCTGGATGCACGTCCCTAACCTTATGCGTGCGCCAGCGTAGCCAACCTTACAAGCGGCGCTAGCGGTTCTACATGCTGTCACGAGTCACACCACCATGTACTGGCGGGCCTGCAGAATCTGAAGCCTTGAGAATTCGAATTCATGCGCTGAGTGTATCTGAGTGTGAGCGTGACAGGGCTTCAGCTTACTGAAATGGCTGCGTGCTCGCTACGGCTTCCTCGAGCCGCTCGGCATGATCTTCGGATTGATGCTCTCGTTTTTGTGGATCCAACGTACCACGCGAGGATCTGGCATTGCCTGTGAAAGTCAGTTGGGTCTTTGGCGATTGAGGCTCCCCATCGTCGTCATATCAAGCGACCAGTCCCGTGAGTGCATGCCGAGCTCTGAGAGACCAAATTATGCGTGGTTCATGCCTGGTTCATTGTAGATTTCGGAGATCAGCTCTTGATGCCTATCTCGATCCCAGTGCAAACGATCCACGTTTGGTCATGCAAAGACTCATAAGGCTGTTCGCAATTGAAGCTGGTTGCAACGAGTGGCTGAACAAACCCTTCACCAAGCAGGCCGATTCCTGCGCAGGGTCCGAGCAGAGTTTGTGCGATGCATATATGACTCATGGACTCATGTGATCATGGGGCAAATGAAACTGCGGGTGCATCAAGAATGAGGTGCTCTCACGTCAAAGAAGGGCCGACTCCATTTAGACGGGCTGCCACAGTACCCTAACTCTAAACCCTAAACCCTAAACCCTAAAACCCTAAACCCTAAACCTAAACCCTAAACCCCTAACTGTACTTGTGGCAACGCAGGAGCTTCTGGCACGAATCGTCCTTGCGACACGCGCCGGGCGCTCGAAAGATCAAGCAATGTGCCATTGCATGCACCGCCTTCAGCACCGGCAAGCTAAGCAGTTTTGTGTCTTCCTCAGCTTTATGCTCAGGTGATTGAAGAAGTGGCCTCACCCCTTTGCGCAAGTCCTGATCTGAGCTCTGCCTGCTCGGAGGAGCCGTCCAGGGCGGCGCTTTGACAAGTGAATGTGTCATACTGGCTCAACGCAGCCCTGACAATGGAAGGATGCACCGGAAATGCCCCGTTCGAGAAGTGGATCCAGGCCAGCTGCACATGTTCGAGTCGCTTTGCATGAGTAGCACAGCTTGCCGCCTACAGGCTGTCGGTTCCCATGGATGCCCGCTTGGCATCCCTGTCGCCCGAGAGCGCCTCACCTTGACAATCTGTGAACTTCATCTGAAGCGTGTCCACGCTGAGACAGCAGCAATACCTACTATACCTACTGTGGACCTTCAACTCAAGTAGAGTTCAAAGGCAATCAGATTGCTAAGGGTCGACATGGAACATATGGAACATGACATACCCTTCAGGTCGAAGCAGCTTGGTTGCTCGTAGTTCTGGCAAAGCTCCTTTCCATTCAGTGGGCAGAGGGATTGGCAGAAAGAACTCTAGCCCGAGTGCAAAGCAGTACACAGCTGTGTTTAAGCTGTTGAATGGGTGTTGCATACATTTTATCCACAGCAATTGTTCGAGCGACTCAGGCCGCGATTGTGCGCCGGCACCACAGGCAACGGCATGCAGCACGCCTGCGGCATCATATTTTGCACTTCTTGATTGGAAACCAGAAGCCGTTCATCTTACTTGTGCAAGTATTACTGTCCAGCTCTGCTGTTGCCATGAACGCTTCATCGCGCCAGTTCCTGGCTCCTCGGTCTGTGTCAAGTGGGCTTATGCTTCCAATGCCCGAATGCCCTCGCCTTGGATTCTCTGGTGCAACCCGAATGTCATCGAGGGGCTTGCCCGGTCAGTGTCTTTTGAAGGGGACGGACTTCATGTTCAATCCATGTTGCATGATCAACTCTTCTCCCGAACTAATGCTTGAGTTGTCGTCCTTGAGGTGAGGATGAAGACAAAGATCCCCCTTCCAGCTTGAAAAGTGGTTCATCTAGTTCGCCGGGGGGCCTACAGGGGGGGGAGAGCTTCCATTTCAGGCAGAAGCCACGCATGGCACAGGCATGTGTATAGTCAGGCAGCCATCGGTGCTGATGCATCGTGTGGACCTGTCCTGACACGAACCTCCCAGTCTCAGGTCGCGGGCAGCACAGCCAGCAGACTCCAAGGGCCAAGCGGCTCAGACCTCTTGCGTGAGATGCGCTGAACCAGCCTTCTGCAGCTCTTGTCCGCCGGGGGCGCTGGCAAGGTCCCATGGAGCAGAACCAGACATTCCACCACGTGTCCTCGCACCCGGCGGCTTGACGAATCATGTGTCAGTAGTTATGAGACGTCAGTGTAGGTCGGCGATCGGAACTTGTTGGGTTTGGATTCGACGTGCGTGCAAGGTGCTCACAGCTCATTGTGGCCTAAGATGGCCTAAGTCAACAGCAACCATGGGCAAAAAGAAACTATGAGTACAACCGAAATCATTTCAAAACAGCGCCGCAAAGTCGCAAAGCAGACGACGGAAGCAAAACGCAACAAGCAAACACAACTTCTCACGCCGTTCGCATATGGTTGATTTTTGCGGCTTCTCTTATCATGTTCGTTGTTTTTTGAACCCCCTCTCCTCCTCGCCTAGAGCTTCTGTTGCATGCAGGGTCGCGCATCTCCGAAGTCTCCAATACGATAGTTTATCTAGTCGTACGAGATGAGTTCATCAAGCGAGTTTAGCTGTCCCTACCTCTCGCCTCCCGCTTCATTATCTCAGCTTGTTTTGTACCTTGCCCTAGTCGCGACCTTATTCTGCGAGATTTCACGTCCAACAGCGGGTCATCTGAGTCCGCATCGCGATTTCGGTTATACCTTAGGATGCTCCCGCCGTTATGCAGAAACAGTTAAGAAAGGTCTGGGTCTATATCACACAGGCGGAAAAGAGCACCAGGAATTCGAACCACGTTGACCCTCGGCTCGGCAATCCAAGCATGGCTTAAGGCATAAGGGAGCAGAAAAGAGGCACCAGAACTAGCCGAAGCAAGAGCAGAACTAGCAGAAACAGGAGAAGAAAAGGCAGCACCAGACATAGCAGAAACAGGAGCAGAAAGAAGTAGCACCAGGAATGACCAGAAGTGGCAGCACAATGTCTGAATAGCAGAAACAGGAGCAGAAAAAGCAGCAACAAGAAACAGCACAAGTTTTGCAGAAATGCGATCACTCCCTAGCTTTTTCCTATTTTTGCTAGTGCTTGTGGTGCGCAGAATGATTATGGCGCACAGCTGTACGGCCTTGGGCAGGGCAGGAGGAAGGGATTTTTGGGGCTTCTGGGGCGACAAGGCTTCGCGTTTAGGGTAGGGCCTTTCGAGAAGGAGCCGCTTTGCAACATGCCCATTCTTCGGAAGCTGAGATTAGCTTGAATAAGATTATCACTGGTCAGAGCCTTTTCTTGCCGGTACTTCGAACCCTACATATGAGCAACAAAAAAAACAACTTTTCAAATGGGTTAAGGGGTTGAGAGCCTAGGCGCTGAAGTCCTTGCATGTACGGCTTAGGGTTTAAGGTGCTGGTGAACGACTGGGAGGAGAGCACGTGCAAGACAGCTTCCGTCAGCAGATTGCGGTTGAAGCGTTTTGGGTTTGAAGAGTTAGGGTCGGCAACGCTTGACACGGCGCGTTCGCCTAACCAAGGCACACAAAACGGGTCCAAAGGAGGCAGCGGCCCATGTCATGCACATTACTGCAACCCCATAGGTACAGGTGGAGGTCATGCTTCTAACAGCCGCTTTGTAATCTAGTTTGTATCGCTGAAGACTGGCGAGATTGTCATGAATGAGAAAGCTGCCGCAAGGATGGTCCAGCCGTGACCTGGGAGCAGGACCTGGACGTCGAGGAAATCGCCCTCAAGCTCTCGAAAAGTGAATAACCAGGAAAACCATCAGGGGGCAGACAAGTAGGATGCTAAATGCTCACGTTCACCTGCAAGCTGCAAGCTTCTATCTCGCGGGCGTGCTGCTGGAGCAGCGCAGCTCTACGGCAGGCTCCTGTTTGCCGGCGAAGTTCCAACCGATCCAACCGAAGTTCCAGCTCGATTATCAAGGTCCGGCGAGCTATTGTTGAGCAAGTGAAACAGAAAGAGTTGACCTTGCATACAGCCGGAATCATAGAGCTACAATTTCGCGACGGGCGGTGAAGTACCGCAAGCACTCGAAAAAGTAAACATGTCGCACATGTTGCTGGAATAGGATCTCTTTGCTACGATATGGCATCTGTGATGCACCCAGGTGCTTGCCTTGTCGAAATAAGACGGGAGTATGTTCGAGGGCTTTGACCGATACGTTCTTGGCTTCTACCGGCTGGCACGTCTGCATGGGTCCTCAAAGCTTCGGTTGCCCCCTAGGCCCTAAGCCCACCCATCCGCCTGGGACTGGGCACATGGTGGGTGTTGGTGGTGGGTGACTGTGATAACTGTGAATTACATTAAGAGTTACTGCGCAATGTAATCTTGAAATGAAGCCAAACCGGGACCTACAACAACGGGCCTCATGGGGTTCCTGCTCGGGTTTTGCAGTGGGCATCCAGTCCCTATGGCAACTCGGAACTTTGAATTTCCTCTTTGTTTGCATGACGTTTTGAGGTGTCAGAGTACCTTGTGTCGGGAGAGTGGTAGGAGGTGGTGCCAAGATGTGCTAATGTGAACTAGCCCTAAACTGACAGGCGGCATCTCCGTCATCCGGCGACAACACAGCAGAGCCTAGGCTGAACCGCAGCACGTTTAATGTGGCCTTCTCGGGAGTTGGTCTCAGTTGGAAGCCATGTCGAGTTTATGCATGAGATCGACTACACATGCAAAAAAGAATTACAAAATAGACCGCAGCTGCTTGCGATTCGGGCTTCTGCTGAGGTGCCTTGGCAACCAGCCAGGGGCGCACGCTACGCACGCCGAGATTCTCTCGTGGCAAAGGCCAACATGATTGGGTGATGCGTGTTGCTGCTTCATGCTGTGGGGTCCGAAATCGGGTCAAGCGCACATGGTATAAGCGCGCCACGTAATAAACGGCTTGATGGTTTGAACAAATTGTTTAGTGGTTTGTGGATGAGCTTTGGCAGATAGTGACAGGTGCCACCTGAGCAGTTCCACCAGCTCCACAGCCTGGACTGCTACCGGCATCTCGTCGCTCTGAGAGGGGGAGTCTTTGGCAACATAGTGGTAGGGTGCCGAACCAGTTTTATAGCTTCTCCCTACGTTTGCTGGGAAGATCCGGGAAGCGTCTCTTTCCTGGTAAGATAGCTGTGAATCCTTGTGGGGCTTTGTCTCCACAACTTGGTTCGACTCTCGTTCCTACAGTTCTCTGACCTGCAACTAGCTAGCGGCACCAGGGGCACTTGCGCTACTTACGCCTGGCCATCAGGCTCCTCGCTCGTATTCTGCCCGTCGAAGCTGTCAGCAGCTTATGAAAGTTCCGCAGTTTCAGGATGTTCCAGGCGTCGAGGCATCCTTGAATGTCGTGTCACTGATAGAGGTGCAGCAGCTCATTTGCGGCGAAGTGATCGAGCCAGAGGGGTGCCCAAACGCAGCCGTGCTGACAGCTTCACTGCAGGCCTGCAGGGCTGCGTGAAGACTTCGTGCTAGTTTCTGTACAGTCCGCTTCAGCAGCTGGCACTGACATATCCTGACCTTCGATTGAGAATCATGTTGGCAAGCTGCGTACTCCAGAGAGAGAGAGAGACCGAGCGCAGCCGAAACCACTGCGAAAGCACATGTGGCCAAGCTGCATCATGTAGCTTCCAAAACACTCCTGCATGGAGAGCGGGACTTCTCAGGGCGTGGATGATGTCGACTCAACGGTTCTCATGGACGCCCTTGGCCCTTCGGTCTGTTTTGGGCTGTTGGGCTTCGTGAAAGCCGTCGCAATCTTCGGGAGTGCCTTGCAACACTGTTGTGCCCTTCCTTGCTTTCCAAGGTCACTTCCTGGATGTACTTGGCACGCTGAGCTTGAAGCCTCAGAACTGTACAAGACTGGGTGGGCAGTCACTGGAGCTCCGCACCAAACTAGTATTTCCAACATGGTGTCACTGGTGTCGAAAGTCTAGTTGGGCCGGGTCAGATGCTTGAAGATTTGCACTGCCTGCGTCCTGCGGTGCCATATCATGAGCCACACTTTGACGATGGGTATAGGCATGTTTTGGGGCTACGCGGGGCACACGAACCAACTATGCCAGCAGCAGGCACAGCTGAAGGCATCGTTTTCTTCTCGTCCGCCGTCGCGTCCTCGGCTTCAAACTGGGAAAGCAGGGAGCCAAGTGGAAACAGCAGAACAGAAGAAGCAAAGCTCACAAGACCAGTGCGAGCGTCTCCATTAATCGGGCTGCATCCATTGGCGCACTGCGGACGCGTACACATGGCATTGGTGTTTGACAGTGCTTCTTCCATATCCGATGCCGAATGCTGTGCAGGAGCTGGGTGCAAGCTTCTTGGCAGTCTCGGGTTTTGCAGGCCGCGTTCGCTCCTGCCATTCTCATTCGCTCAGATTTGTTGAGTCGTTCATTTTGGCGAGATGCATCTGTGCTCCCGTCCTGGCTGCATAGGCACACCTGGGCACGAGATTCAGCTCGTGAGATTTGCCCTTGCAATGCGGGACCGGGCAAGTTCACGACATGCAGACGGAAAGGCATCAAAATTCAGCAAAATTCCAAAAGTTGCCCTATGTGGAGAGCTTGAGAGCACACATCACGCTGGTTTGCCTTCTAGCTCCCGCAAAGTCCAGGGCGGGAGCGGGGGAGGCCGGTGTGGGGTGAGGATGGTGAGGCCCCATAAAGCCGGCCATGCCAGATGCAAGAACATCACTACTGTCACTACTGCGGCCCTGGGTGAGGGGGAGTTTCCAGTGCACGATGGTGACGTGACAGGGAGAACAACAACAGCAAGCAGGAGAGTGACATAGACTCGCGATGACAGATGAGGGCGCCAGAGGAAACTCGCCGGCGGAAGAGCCAAGCGCGGAAGAAAGGTTAGAAACATCAAGAGCGAGAAGCATGAGAAGGAGATTGTCACTGACTTGTGTGAGACGCGCGAATGTCTCCATTAAAACAGCCTATGCATGCACTTTTTTTTAAATGTTATCGCGCCACCTCGGCTCTGCTGCAAAAGACTCTGGGAAGGGTCTGGACATGTCTGGAAGGCTCTGGGGCAGTCTGAGGCTGTGGAAGGTTGGAGGAAGGCTGGAAGGCTGGAGCCGAATAAGGGGAAGCCTTGAGGCTGAAGGCTTTGGGCCGAGCACCCTTAATACTAAACACTAAACCCTGAACCTTCAACCTGGGATACCGGATACCTAGACCTAAATACCTTGACACCTGCAAAGGAGAAGCCTGCGCCTAGAATATACCAAGCCATGTTCTGTGCTCAGAGAGAGCTCCCCAAACTCCAATTCCAGTAATTAGAGCCAGCCTTACAGCGTTGGAACTTCAACATAGTGCCACACCGCTATGAGACACACCCGAGCATGCGACTGCAAAGTGCAGTGGGGTTTCCAGACAGCCTGCCCCATCGTTGCAGTGCAGTAGCTTTCAGTTCAAGTCAATGACAATGCTTGCCATGAGGACGGTACTGCGCTCTGTTATTTTGGCAGCCGAGATCACAGGTAATTGTATTGCTTCTTCGAAACCCTTGCCCTCCCCATAACGAATATGCCTTTACCCACGACGAAAAGCAACATACAAAAGGACCAGAATCAGATTTACGATGGCTCTTGATTGACTAGAAGTTGCGAAAGAAGCAATGAACCACTCAGTGCTACTCGTAGCTGAATGTTGGAAAGAAGGGGTATCAGTTGCGGCAGGATCGGCTGGAAGAGCTGAGGCCGGAGCTTGATCAGATTCCACGTCAAAGCATATCAAAGCGCACTTTGCTGCCGGCACGAGAGAGAGAGCCCCACAACCCAGTCGTCGCCTGCATTTTCCTGGCAGGATCTGACAGGGTTTCCTAAGGACTTGATTCTGCCCATGACCGGGCCTGGCCCCATCGCTCCCTTCTCCCTTTGTTGGCGTTCCTCTCTCTCTCTCTCTGTCTCTCCCGGTCTGTGCCTCTGCAGTCGCGCGCTTCTCCCTCTTTCTCTCTCTCTCCCATAACCGTCATTTACTTTCTCAGTGCTGTATTTTGCTGTCTCCCTTCTGCCGTCCATCAAGTCGGTTTTGCTTTGCTTCGCTTTGCTTTGCATCATGCTAAGGCTTGCACCAGGGCCAGATCTGCTAGACATCAGAGCACACGCTTTCCATGTTTGAGACGCACACGGGCGCAACAAAACGGATGAGTAAACCAACCGAGTAAACTTTGAGTAAACCTGAGAGAAGAGCCCCTCAGAGCAACCTCACACCAGTGCCTTCTCTTTTGGCAGACAGGAACCAAAGCCAAGCCAACGCCCACATGATGACATGCAAGCTTTCTTCAAGGCATTAGGCGTAGTCTACCCCCACATCCGGCGAATTCCAGCTATGTACAGCAGCATCCTGCAGACGTCAAGCTTTTGAAGTAACTATCCTGCAGCCAACACAACCACAAACAACAACCAGCAACAGAAACTGTAGCAACATCAGCGCTAGCAAACACAACAGCAGCAATGGCAGCCACATCTGGCTGGGCACATGCGATGCCCATGTCGAATTGCAGAGTTTTCTTCCGGATGTTGCTTGCACAAAGTGGCTGTGAGTCACCATTGTCTACACGTGTCCACACGCGCTGTTCAGGAAAGCGCTGCCCCCGATGGCCAGTCAGGTCCGAGCAGTCCGGCAGCTTCAGGGTTTTGCCAAGCATAGTCCAAGCATGCTGGGTTTAGGGTTTAGAGTTTAGGGTCTAGGGTTTCTGCCCCTGGAACAGGCCTCGAAGCTCTCCTTGGCCATTGGTGTCGACATGGGCAAAGCAACCAGACTCGCACCCTGATGAAATTGAGTGTTTTGTTAACACCCGTCTTCTGCACCTGACATCCGGGAAAAGATGCGACACCGTCGGATTATCCTCATCCAAGGTGCTTGGGCGACTCTGTCCCTATGTCGCGAGCTTAGGTTGCAACATGTCGTCGCAACACGGAGCTCTGTTGCATGTTGCAAGTTGTGCTGCACCATGTGATCTAGTTCATATCTGCCGGCAGAGCTATCGGGGCAGGGAAGCTCCTTTCGACTTAAGGTCACTGTCACCGGGCCCGCTGTGCGGCAAGCCAGGCAGAGTTGCACATTTCTCTGGATCATAGTTAGAGTTAAAGTGCTGCTCTCCTGTCTCCTTGCCAAGAGGCGGTTATGTGAGGAGGCGCATATCCAGGCCACCAGACAAGCCACCTGGCCAGCAACCTTCAGCCTTGAACAATCTAACTTGTCCAGAGGTTTCATATGGACGGCAGCATCTGAAGACAGGCATTTCCTTCCATCATTTGCTTGTATAGGGATTCTCAGAACTTCGCGTGCACTTGCATGTGCAAGTAGCTGACATCTAGGAAGAGCGGCTGAAGGGCCGCCGCATCACGCACAGGAACAGGACGACACCATCCCTCACACTGCACTGCTTGTCAAAGCTACTCATCAATCTTTGTCCAGCACGGTGAGAAGCAACAAAACACAACTTCTCCCAATGTCTCACATCTCTCGAATCGCTCGTTCCGGGTCCAAGGGCTTCGCGCAGATCTTTGTCTCTCAGCTGATCATGCGTCGGCTAGGCAGTGGCCTTTCAGTCAGTGACATGGCACACATACTTCCTTCGCAATGGGCTTGCCTTTGCGTTGACCAGGTCCAGTCCTCTCTACCTTGCCGATAAAGCCCGTGGATGTCCAGACAGGAGGGGAAGCCTGCACCGTGGAGGGCAGACGCCTGCGAAGTTCTTTCACTACATGTCACAGGCGCACCACCTCCGAAGATGCTGCCGCAGCAAGACGAGGCTCACTCCAGTTCATAAACTTAGCACACACAGACACACATCGCGTAACAGAATGAGAAACCTACTTGCACCCTCGAGCAACGTTTGAGACAAGTGCTTGCTGCAGGCTGAGGAATCGAGCCGGATTTTTGCTTGGAGCTTAACGAGCACCAATTCACCAGTGCTTCACCAGTGCAGATTGAATGTCGGCTTGAAGAACTACACAAGTTAGGGTTTCGTCGACATATCTTGGAAAACGCGTGGCATGAGACATTGAATCGCAATAATGTGGAACCTGTTTGTGCTCGGGTAGGGCCTTGGTGTGCACAGCTCACGCAAGGCCCTGCTTCAAGCGAGCGAGGTCTGCCACTCAGACGCATGCCAGGTAACGCTACTGGCATGCCCTGAAGTTCTGAGGAATTCCAGAGCTCGAGCCAGAACGAGGGAGTGGACAAGGCCTCCTTGTCTGCCGGTCTTACATTTGCATTGCCAGCAAGCACTTGGTAAATTCTCAGATGATCTCAGCAACACTTTACCAAACTCTTGCCAAGACTCGAGCGAGAGCTGTGCTCACGCACCACCCAACTTTGACCACAGCTATTCACATGCATTGCTGGCTAAAGCTGGCTTGCAGCTTTGTGGTCCATGCTTCAGTTGCTGCTGGCTTTCTTCATTGGTTGTCGATTCCGAATGCCTCAATCTTCTGCGGGGTTGACCTGCAAACACTGTACAGTGTCATTGGCATGGTGTTTCACGTTCAAATCGCCAGGACATGCCAAGTAGCCCAAGCGGGCCTTCTCACGCGAAGGCACGGCCTTTGCGGCCTTTGGTTTTGGTCGAGTCTCAGTGGCGAGCACAGTCTCAGTGGCGAGCACTGTCTCATGGACAGATTCTGCAGCTTTGGACAGGAAAGCGAGGAGGCAAAGATGTGGGGGGTGAGGGGAGCGGGGAGGGAGGGTGGGGAAGGTGAGGGGAGGGGGATGGGGGAGGGTTTGGGCATGCATTGGAGCCCATAGAATAAGGGGGCAAAGATCTAACGCAACATGAATGAATGGGGGGGGGGGGGCAGGAAGGGTTTGGGAGGGTAGGGGGGGGGGTGGGGGGGGGGGGGGGTTTGGGCATGCATTGGAGCCCATAGAATTATTCATGCGTTTGGGCATAGGGGGGGCAAAGATCTGGTGGGCAAAGATGTGGGGTGAGGGGAGCGCGGAAAGTGGGGAAGGTGGGGGGAGCGGAACTTGAGGGAATGGCAGGGGCGGAGAAGGGAATGTTTGGGCATGCATTGGAGCCCATTGTTTGGGCATGCATTGGAGCCCATACGAGGCAAAGATGTGGGGGGTGAGGGGAGCGGGGAGGGTGGGGAGGGTGAGGGGGGTGGGGGGGGCGGGGAGGGTTTGGGCATGCATTCAGGCAGAGGGGGCAAAGATCTAACGCAACATGAAGGAATGGTGGGAAGGGTAGGGGGGGGGGGGGGGGGGGCAGGGAGGGTTTGGGCATGCATTGGAGCCCATAGAATTATTCATGCGTATAGGGGGGGCAAAGATCTGGGAGGCAAAGATGTGGGGTGAGGGGAGCGCGGAAAGTGGGGAAGGTGGGGGGAGCGGAACTTGAGGGAATGGCAGGGGCGGAGAAGGGAATGTTGGGCATGCATTGGAGCCCATTGTTTGGGCATGCATTGGAGCCCATAGGAGGCAAAGATGTAAGGGGTGAGGGGAGCGGGGAGGGTGGGGAGGGTGAGGGGGGTGGGGGGGGCGGGGAGGGTTTGGGCATGCATTGGAGCCCATAGAATACTTCAGGCAGATAAGCAAGCAGTTGAGAAGCAGTGTAAGAGCTGTGGCAGCTTGTTTTTCAACGAATCTCCAGGTTTATTGAGCAAAGCCGGCACCGCATACAGCTCCAGCATCATCTGCAGCACTCTACGCCCATATGCGATGGCAATTGTTGCTGCCAGGCTTCACCGATGGCGCCGATCGTGTTCCATATTCCGGAATCGCAGCCCTCCGGCCAAGGCCCGGAGCAGGAGCAGCCAACTGATCCCACGAAGAAAGCAGCGAAAGCAGCAGCAACACGAACGTCACGACATGTCACGACCGGCTAGGCTTCGCGTCGCCAACTTCCCAAGGCACGTTGTTTGTCGGCTTCCAGGGTGGAAGGATCTTAGTGCAGTGGCATGCTGGCGGTCCAGCGTTGGCTCTCTCATTGCAGCTCTCATGAACATGCTGGCTTTTCATGCCTTAGACAAGCCCCCCAAGAGACTTCAGGGTTCCGAGCGCTACAAGACACCCTTCCGGAAACGGACACAGAACTGATCCGCGTGTGTCAAGAACCGTCGCTTTCCAGATTCTAAATGGCACTCCAACCTCCGCTTCCAGAAAGCCTCCGGTAAAGCGAAATTAGTTGCGCTGCCACACCCGTGCAATGGGCGGCGATGGCGGAAAAGGAATGCGTCGCTTCGCTTTCAAGGCCGGAGGTCGAAGCTTTGAAAAGTTACTTGTTCTAGACCCCCCCATAGCCTATGTATATGTACATGTATATGCATATGTGTATGTGTATGTATATGTGTATGTATATATATATATATATGTATAATACTTATAAAGTGTTTGCCTCTATATTAAGCTTTGGTGTATAAAACCACAAAACGACAGAATCACAGACGCAAATGAGAGAATAGATGCACAAACCCACAGAAGCCTAACACAGACGAAAGTGACAGACTGACTGGCTGGTTGGCGTGAAGGCTCTCTGCCCCAACGAGCTCGTCTCACGGATCATGGGCAAGGGCGGCACACGCAAAGCCGCATGACCAGTTAGAAGCTTTCCATGTCACTGGCATTCTCAATGTTCGCTCCCCTGTGTCTCGTGGCATTGCTTGTTTGAGATGAACTGGATAGCGTCACGCGATGCAAAGGACCAGCTCCAGAGCGAAGTCGGTTGCCGGATCGTTGTCAGTGGCCGTGATGAGTACTTCCCTGGCACTCGTTGGCGAGTCCTGCTCATTTACAGTGACAAAGCAGAGGCAGGGCCCGAACAGGCTTCGAACAGACAATGCAAGCATTGTGGAATATTGCGGATTGCAGCACGTCTTTACTTGCTCAGATTTGTTCAGGCGATTCTCGGAGTGATGCAGCATGTCATCCGTGACATTATCGAATGTGGTGCAAAAGAATCAGCAAGTGCAGATGCAGACTTCCTCGGGGTGGATCGTGGCACTTACATTGTGCGGTGCGTGGTCACGAAGCAGATATCATCTGCCATTATTGGTCCAAAGGGCAATAATGCGCGTGCAATTCGAGAGGAGTCTGGATCAAGGGTTATCATCGACCCCAACATAACTGCTGGTCACCAGATGGTGAAGCTTGTTGGCGAGCCGCAAGGCTTGCGTATTGCCTTGGCCAGGGTCAACCAGTTTGTCCAGGAGCAATACGGAAGTCCCAGCTACATGGAGTGGGCGACGATTAAGAGCTTTGACGGCGCAGGGAATCCTATCCATTCAGCTCCCACGGAGACAGGATTTAGTTATCACAGTGGTCACGGCATCCATGGCAAGGGAGCGTCCGACTGGCCAGAAGAGCGCGAGCGAACTCCTCGAGGAGCAGGCTTGGAGGGCTGTTAAAGGCATGTTGGGCACGAGTTGGGCATTTTTTTCAATTTTGATCCATATGCCCGGTGGCACTCGAGGCTGTTGCTGTTGTGGTTGTGCTTCATTGCTTCATGTATGTCGCCGCTGTCGTAGCTTTATTTGTGCTACTGCTTCCTACTGCTTCTCCCAGTGATGCAGTGCACCAGGCCTTTGTTTACTTTTCGTTCTCTGTTACTTTGACCTAGGTTATTCGGACTGTTGTATTGTGTAGCTTCTGTGCCTTTTGTTTTTTGTGGCGTCCGTCCTGCGCCTTCCCATAGGAAAACTCAGAAACCTATGATTCCGATGACTATTAGTGTTGTCATTGCTATTAAAGCCCATGATAAATCATGTAAATGTACGGGTCTGTTCGCGTATTTAATTCTACAGAAGAAGAGTGAACGAAACGAGCTCAAAATCCTAAAGTCCTGAAGCCAGAGTGAGCGACTGTACATTGCCATCTATGAAATGGCATATTATTCCTGTAGCCTCAATAAATGCGGTTCTCATCTTTCTTTGGTCTTTTGTGCCACATTTTCACGTAGATTAACCCCCATAAAATGCATTAAGTTGGGCGCTGCTATTCTGTGAATATTAGTCATTCTGCAGTTTTTTTGCGAAAACACCCTTTTAATAGAGGCTTCTACAGGAAACACAATGCTACGAAAAAACTTCTTTGCTTGTAGAACTAATGAGATAAGTAAATCAGCATCTTTTAACACATGAATGTGTTTTGCCATTGTCTGGTCGTCTTCGTCGTCATCGTCGTCATTGTCGTCGCTGCAGTGTTGTTCGTCCAGCTACGGGATGAAAAGCACGCATCCCATGATTATGCCATGCCCCATTTAAGCATACCCCCGATTGTGTTCAAACAAAAGCCAGCAGATCCCAATGTAGTATCAGGGAGAGGCGGGACGTATTTGCTTTTGGCGAGAGGGGATTCCGAGATTCAAGCGTTACTGATACCAACTTTCATTGCTGTGGCTGTTGCGGGCGCCATGATCGTAGTGGTGGTCGCAAACGATTTTGCGCTGTTAAGAAGAATTGGGTTTTGATCGGGCCATACGGTGCCCTTCTAGCACAGGTGCAATCGTTGCGCCTCCGCAGCGAGGCGGTTCCAGAAGTACAGCCAAGCTGCAGCAGCCCGCGACGTCGGCAGGGCAACTTGGGTTTTGCTCTGTGAACTTCTTTTGAACGTAACATCTTGCGCAGGAATGCCGCGGCATCTATAGGTGTTGCACAAAAAGAGGCGGCGTCACGTGTGTTCCCACAGGCTGTCACCAACTGCAGCCACAGCTTGCAATGTGGAGGCATGTGCATGTAAGGAGTCCAAGTTAGGTTTCGTAAGTTCCGTATGGCCAATCCCACCACTTGGCATCTTGTCAGGGCAGCACGCCTAGGAGCAATCTGTTTTGCAGTACCTCGTAAAACAGCTCGGCCAGAAGAAAGTTGGGAGATTCCCGTGCCTTGTTCCTGTGGATTTTGAATGTTGTTGAGTCGGCTCCTGACTCTAAGGTCAGAGGGTGACGACGCTGACTCAGATCTTCTTTCTGCCTTGGGCTCCACTGCCCACGGTTTCCCACCAGGTGCACAGTTGCTTTTTCGACTCGTTCGACCCCATGAGGTGTTAAGTCCTCAGTGGAGGTACACTGGACATGGAGTACACCATCAATTGCGAGTTGCCGAGTGAAAAGGCTGGTGGCAAATAATGTCCAAGTCGCGTAGGTTTGCTTGTCTACATGTCTGCGCTGCTCGATGGCCCAAGCTCGTCCAGCATGTAAATAGGCCTGGAAGGTCATAAGTCACAAGCTGGGGATTTGGGCAGCGCCGCGCAGGTCGGGCTTCTCATCGGCAAACGTGGAGAGGATGTGCAACGGATCCGTCTGTTGGCTGGAACGAACGAGAGGGGTCGGCACTTGCTTCCTGGGATAGAAAGACATGGTTAGACTACTGTTAGACTGTAGACACCTCTTCCCTTTTGCGGAGCTGGAGGCAAGAAGACCGGAACCTACATCCACTTCGATCCAGCGCAAGATGGTAGCGAGGGCCAAACCCTCACGATCAGGGGGCCTCTGCTCAAGACCTATCGTGCCCATGCGATGCTTATGCGAAGATATCACGAGACGCAGGTGGAGGCCTCTAGATTGCACTGAAAGAGTGCATGGTTCTGTGCACTTAGCAAGCAGCTTAGCAAGCATCGTCTTTAGGATTTGCTAGACGGCTAGGGCTACCGGACGACGCACTGCACGAAGGGTTTGTCCAATAGAGTATTTAGTTTGAAAGGGAGTGCTGCAATCGCTGCCCTAGAAGTGATGCAGAGCTCCATAGCCTTGCGGAGGAGACCCCACCACCACAGAATGGTACGAATGGAGACAAGGACAAAGATCAAAAAGTGCAGGAGACTTTGCCTGCACTGTTGGCATGCTCATGGCACTCTTGGGGCCATCACTGAGCCCTGCAGCAGCTTTGCCCCCTAGACTGCCAGTGCCGATGCAGCTCAACACCAGGATCCGATTGCCGACCCTCCCAAGGAATTACAAGTTTAGGGTCTGGGGATGGCAAAATTGTATGGGGGTCAAGCCCACAGGCTCAGGGGTCAACAGATGCGCTGGCACGACAGATGTGGTTGCGTTGCAGCGGCAGATTGCCCCCGCGACGTGACGAGCGCACCGATCCTCATCTCCTGCCCGAGCCCCTGTACAAACCTATGTCTGTTCAGAGTCCTCCTGCTTTGCGGGGCTTCCTTTATATCATCTGAATCTGCACCTTTGCTAGAACCTGATAGGATACTTGGGACATGGACTCCTTCATGAATCTGCATGCCCTGGCACGTTCTACTTGCTACTAACTTCATGACGGGGCTCCTTTGCAAGCAACGGCAATCACATCGCTCAAATAGCCTCTCACGACGTTTTGCTCGAATCTTGTGATATGCTCTGCCAGGGCCAACAACTGAGTGTGACTTTGCATACACCACCAGCTACTTCCTGAGGAGCTGGAGGAGCAGCTACAAGCTCTGCAGCGGCAGATGGCAGAAGTAAAGAACAGCATGAGCCTCGGCCAAGCATTCGCGTTGTGCCTTCTTACTGGGGAAAGCCCACACGTCAGCCGCCTCGACCCAATATCTACTGTAAAGGCCAGTTGAAGATTTGTCTACAGGGAGGTCGGGGTGGAAGTCAAGTGACTTAAATGTGTGCTGCCACACGTAGCCTTCTCTCGAGCCTCACACAAGGGGCGCTCAGCATCACATCATTTTTTCTCAGTCTGCACCAGAATCGCTTAAGTTTTGCCCCACGTCGGATTCATGCCCATGACCTTGTGGATGTGAAGCAGCTGGAACTACTCCGAGGGTGTCGTGGAGGTTTGATCCGAAATGTTCACAGATCGGACGAGGCGGCCATATGAAAGATCAACGGCGCTTTCTTCAACTATTTGCGAGCCCTACAGAGCCGACTGCCGGCCAACTTCGAAGACTTAGCAGGTGAGCTATCAGATTTCAGAAGTCACTCAAATCAAGAAGGAGAACATGTTTCACACGCAGAGTGGACAATCACGGGGTCGAAGCGTTTTTTCTTTGATGAAATCCTCACTTCTCAACCCCTTTGGCGCAACCGGCAGAGGGTGCACCTCCCTCGTCGTACATCTCACTGACGTGGTGAGGGGCGAAGGCCGGGCCTATCTTTGAGAACAAACTGGCATCTTTTTTGTTCCGACTTCGCCTCCCTGATCCAGAGTATCTCCCTTGCCTTCGAATGGGTGGGTCACACACTTTTCATCAGTTGGGAAAAAGCAAGTCCGCCCTTTAATGGCCGTCCTCCCTTGGGTGGATGGCTTCGCCAGTCCTAGGTTGGTTGCTGAGGAGAGTACTTCACCGGTGGATTTTTACACTTGCAGGCAACTAGGTCGCTCCAAGCGCAATCACCTCCCAGCCATTCTGGATGTAAAGTGCATCTGATCCGAGCTGAGGATATATCTGATGTGCGCACGTGTGCCAATGCTTTTCGTGATGGAATGGTGTTCTGAAACAGTTGTCTGGAGCAGTGTGCTCCGCGCCGCTTATGTGAGGAGCAAGAGTTCGAGAGTTGGGAAAGGCCCGAGTGCGGCATGAGAAATGCCGTTTCAGGTGCTGCAGTGCCAAGGGTGCTTCAGATTAGTTTTGTACCAACGCCTGTCTTTCTGTCAAGATGTTGACGACACAGTTTCCATGTTTGAGCGTGGTTGATCTGCTAAGGAATGCTGGACCACCAGCTGTTTCTGCGAGAGGTCGGGGAAGCGGAAAAGGTTCGAAGAAAGGCCGATAAAGGCACAGACTAGAATCCAGATGTGACGCCGTCCTGCAGCCGTTAGTAGACAAGATAGCCTAGCTTGGCCTTAGAGGGAGAGGACCCTGGCCATCATCGGCATTCTAGTCTAGTGTCAGTATTGTGTGCACTGAGATCTGGCCGAGGGCCTCTCCACAGGCCATATCTGCGTCGAAGTGCTTTGCTGGCACTTGCTGCCGATACTGGCGGCCGTGACCTGCGGGAACAAAATTTGCCTGAAGTTACAGTGCCTTTCAAATGCCCTTTGAACTATGCAAGGGCCTCAAGACTTCTACAAGCAGTTCGAAACGTCGAAACGTTGTCACCTTCCATGTGAGAGTGACCGCATGAAATTGGAACTGATCGAGCAACTGCCCCAAGCACCATTTGCGAGACACTGAACAGACCGGCCTCGTGTTGTGGATGTTGTTTGGCTTATCAGCTGCCAGTGTTCGGTTTGATTCGCGAGATGTAATTGGAACCAGGGCTTCGAGGGCTTGTCATCCTGGAACTTGTCGAAGCTACTGTTTCAGATCTGAGTGGATGAGGGGATTTTGCCCTTGGCATCCCTGGTCGGAATCTGCGATCCAATGGCGACTCCCCATGCCCTGCACATTGTTGCTGCTACGATTTTTTCGGCAAACCATCGCCAGGCTCTTCAGCACCATCACGGCCATCACGTGACTGGATGGCTTGTGCCTCAGAGTCTCGCAATTGCCTGCGCCATCAGGCGATGACGAATGTTTTATTGGGTTCCCTGAAAGACCAGAAGCAAAGTAGAGTCGTACAAGGATCATAGTCCACAGCATACCGCAGTTGTTGCTAGATGTGCGCTGCAATCATTCCTCGGCCCAGCTACCTCCCAGTTGAGAGCTCTAAAACGACGTCTTCGCAGGCCCTCCAACTGCGTTCGAGACATCTCCAGCTCGAGAATTCGCAGCTGACACAGCCGGGGGGCCTTAGCCGGGGAGGCCTCTTGCCAGTCTGTGCCCAGTCTCGGGGAGATGATATATACCTCAGTCGAGCAGTCATGAGAGGTTCAGGTCAGTTGTGCAATTGGGCTGGCCTAGGCGATGTCAGACACTTGAGACACGATGTCAGCAGCTGCAGTGCCTTGCCTGCACCGAGGGAGGTCATGGGAAATCGGACTCGCAGGTCGCATGTGCAGGGAGCGCAGTGCAAGCAACCTGCAGCTGCAGCAGCACGACAGAGAAACCAAATGCATGTCAAAGTCAGAAAACACCATACAGAAGCTGCTTCATTCTTCTGCTTGGTAACGGAATGTTCCCTGCGGGGCCAGATGTCTCTGTCATTCGGGCGCCGAGGAGTAGGTAGAGATACATTAAAGTCATGCTCCCCGATGTCAGCTTGGCACAGTCGGGGAAACGGGCAAGGTGAAAAGGTGCATAGGGGTAGGTTGACACAGAAGGGATTGCGACTGTTGGGGTGCCGGAGTGCTGTGGGCGCCACAAACGACACCTGCCCTTCCGAGGCGTCAGCGCATGGCTTTTCAAGAGCAGATGGAAGTCGCCCAGCGAGATGCCCCTTGTTCGAGCGCATTCGCACAATGCTGAATCTGCTGGGAAGTCTCAAGATTTGCCACACAACACCCAGCAACCCCAGCTTACCTTCCATGTGCCATCTGAAGTTGTGAATTTGGAACCATTGAGGCTCGTCGCTTTGAGATGGAAATGAACTTTTGGCGGTTTGGCCTAGCGCAAGGCCTGCAAAGCGGCTCGTAGCCCTTTGACCCGGGCATGGACGGCACGACATAAAATAACATTATGCGCAGTGCAAGTATGGCAAGTTCCTGTCCGTCGTCCGACAGGCGCCGACAGGAGCATGTAAGCCAGGACTGCCCTGAAGCAGCCATACAAGCAAGTGATCGATTCGAAAATCGGATCGGCACTTCTCCTGGGCTGGCAGATCGAGACAAGCCGTTGGAGCAAGTCTACCGGATGCGACGGCTTGTGCTTCGTATTGCTTCGTGCTTCCAGCATGTAGCTACGAGGCCTTGAGCAGCTTGAATGTGCTGGCGTGCTCAAGATGGGCCAGCCACACGTGATTTTTCAGATCTCGGGCAAGTACGAGTCGTCATGCCTGGGCAACAAGGAGGCAACTTTCCTGTCAGTGTGTGGCAGTGGTGGCTGGTGCTCCTGTAGGGCATGTCCCCTTTTCTTGTGTGCACATTCCCTGCTCAACAGGCTCCCAAAAGACATGCACTATCGACGGTTTGAAACATCGGCCCGACGGAGGGCCAACCTCGGACTTGTAGTGTGGCCAGATTTGGGATATAGGGTGACCGGGTGCCCTTGCACCGTATCGCCGATAGCAGGCTGAGAGTTGCAGTTATGGCCTAGACCTTATACAGCGCGACATGTTGTGATGTGGCGTTGCTGTTAGCATTCAATTCTACCGGTCGAGTCAGCGTTCGAACATAGAGCTGCGGGCATAAGCAGGAACTGGCAGAGGCCCTGCAAAGCTGATGTCACCAGAGCGTTTGCGCGGGGAGGGGATGGAGAGGGTAGCACATTTTTGCTACGCAGATTCTTGGGAGTTATAAACCCGTTACCCCACCCTTGCCAAGCCACATCATGGGCTTCCGCTTGCACATTGGTGATTCCTGTGTATCCCAGCTCAAATGCGTGCGCAAGCTCAAAGAATTCAAAGATCAACTCCAACCCATTGACGAGCTTGACACGGCTTAGACGATTGACTCGCTCAGCAGACAGATCTCCAAAGAAGCAAACCGATGCTGTCGACCCTATGGCTTCTTGCAGCCGCTGCCACTGGCCACCCCGTTTTAGTGCCACGAGTGGTTGTGGTGACTGCTTTCCCACCAGAGTTGGCCAGGCACCGGTCAGTTTGTCGGCATAGCTAGTGCCATATCTTGCTCTGGCGACAGAGGTGGCAAATCCGGCTGCCGTTAAATGATGAACTTCCGTTTCCAGGACGTGCTGGTACGGTTTCACTTACCATGACATCACGTCAGCCGTTGCTGCGAGGAGGGGCGGGTCAACAGAACTTGGCTTGGAATGGATCCTTGAACGCAGAAGGGTGAAGGGACATCTTCCCAGAGGCTGACATATATTATGAAGCTAGCCGCTATCAATGAACTTACGTGCTTCTGGGTGCTGCCATATGCAAGGTTCGCTTGGTGTGCTGGCGATGGTCACAGGGATGTCCTCCAAGAACGCATCGCTGTCGGTACGCTTTGGGGACTGCAAAGTCATTCTTCACGCAGCCACTGCCACCATTAGTGCGCAGTTTTGTTGTAGGCCAAAGGCATTATACCACGTCAACACGCAAGCAAAGTTTATGTGGGCGTCAAGGACCGCTGCATAAGCACAATTGATATTTGGTTTCTTGCATGGGCTTGGAGGTGACGGCATTGGGATATGATCCTCGCTTCGATTTGACAACGGCGACCTGGCTCCTTGCGGGCATTGCGGGCAGCTTGGCCTGAGATTCGGAGTTTGAGCGCTCCGAAACAGTGATGCCTTCAACACGTGCTGCAATTGTGTCTCAGAAAGCTCATGTTTGTTTATGTTCATGCTTAGGCCTGGAAGCGAATTTTGCCTTGAGCAATCACCTCAAAGCTTGCCATAGGGCTTCTCTTTAACAACCAGGGCAGTATTGCGCTCCTTGCCACTCCGTGCAACGCGTAGTCTCGGGTTCTGAATCGGAAGTTGCTGGCAGGAGATGCCTTCCATGGAAGCCAGGGAGTTCATCTTTACACTGATTGGAATGAGTGGACTGAAGACTAGGAAAGAAGCCCATGAGTAAATACATGTACATATGCAGATTAATGCAGTTTGTAGACCCAGTACCTCCTATTCCAAGCAAGAAGCTGAAACAGCATGCATGTAGACAAAAAAGCAGTCAAGTGGCTCCGGAAGTCACACGAGGTTGCATACCTTGCCAAAATACACGGTTCAGCGAACGAGCCCCAGATCAGTCCCTTTTGTACTTCCGTTCCTGTGGTGATGTGTGAGCATGTGAGCATTGTCTTTGTTGAGCCCCGGACGGAGTCTTGGAGGGCCGGCTTTCAAAGCGCTTAACTCCCCGACTGAGCTTCGTGCAAAGGAGTTGATCCTATGTTTGGCACTGTTGGCGGAGTGGCATGGATGCAGCGGCTTGTGGATGGCACAGTTGTGAAGTATCTCGATTCCAGAGAGATGCCGCAGGCAGGTCTGTCTGCAAAAGCAGTCAAGTAGCCGATGTGTTCAGTGTGTTGCTTCGAGTAAAGGAGAGATCTGGCCCCGGACCTATGAAGTAAAGAGGCTTGTTTTGAAGGGGTGAAGAGCATAGAAGGGGCAGTTTCTGCTTAGGGCTGCTGCCATCTTTATCCTGACACACAGAAGCTGACACAGCTCAGTACTGCAGGTGCATCAATTACAACGAGAAACGACTGACCACTAATGTTCGAAGCAAGATCTCAAAAAACTTCTCAACCCGCAACTACATGCGCTCGCAACACTGTTCCTCGTTGCGTGATGGCAAGGTGGGGAACATAATATGGGCAACTCGAAGCTTGGGAGTGCGGGGCGGTGAGAGGGTTTGACTCCAGAGTGTTGGCCACAGCCGTCCTCGAGTGTTCATGTGTCCGTTCCGTGAGCGCTGTAGGCAACAACGTCGAGACAGAGAGGTCGTTTTGGAAAATCTTGGGCTCGCTGTTGTTCAATTCAAAAGTATATTTCCTTCTTGCCGACTTGCTCTGGGTGGGGTTAGTCGAGCCAGCATTCCACAAGAAGTCGGGAACAAGTTCGGAATAGGTTCAGAGGGCAGAGCTCGGGAAGATCAGAAACGAAGAATGCGGAGAGAAGCGATAGCTGAGCAGTGTGAACACAGTCACGAGATGCGCATCGAAATGTCTGCTTAATTGTCTACTGCTGACATGCTGGCGACGAAATGGTCATTTCCGGTTCAAGCCTTGGAGGATTGGGAAACAGGCTGGATCCCGGTGCATCGAGACCGGCCCTACGGTCTACCTCAACCGACACCCACCGAGCGGGCTGGCTCCGTCAAGCTCCTGAACCCCAGGCTCGTGCAGCGGCTTGGCATCCGCAGCAGGCTGTTCAAAAATGGTTGCTTGCTCGCTTTCCTGATAAAGTCAAAAAGGTGGATAGCAAAAAGTGGTGTCCGTTGCAAGTGTCCAGATGTGCCCATCACCGTATTTTCCATTGATGCTGATTGATGCGTGGATTTCGTTAACGTTGCGTTTTATACCTCTGCGGTGGACATCCGCATCTTAGTGGGGAGTGGAACTGACGTCGGAAACCCGCATCGTCACATCTTCGGACAACATCCGCATCTTCGCGTCCCCGGTCAAGAGCCCCAGGCACTGCTAGACCAGTGGAAAGCACAGTGACATCGCTGGATAAGAACAGTCTGTTGTTCAATGAGGGGGCCCTCGATTTCTCAATTATGAAGCCTTTGTGCATTTGTCCAAAACCAGCTCAGCAATTTGACGGTACCCTCGATTTCTTACTGGATTTTGAGGAGCGAGTGCCTTAATGAAGTTGCTGCTACTTGTTGCTTCACATCCTGAAATTTAATAGATGGAACCCCTCAAATTCGTGACAGTACGACTAAGAACCCAGGCGCGCAAATTCTTGTTAAATTTCAGACCGATCGTCCTCGACGAAGGGTATACCACACCACAAGGTTTCACCCGCACCTGCATGCGACGCTCTTGAGCAGACCGCTTTGTCGACTCCGTACTGGGTATTCGTCACTGCGCGGCGGTTGCCGCTTCACAAAACTGCAGACCCTTTTCACCCACATGCCCCGCATTCTTTGTGCAACGCCTGTTGTTTGAAGGTGTATGTGAGTTTGTGAAAAGCCACGGAACTCAAGGTAGCCCGAAGCATCAGATCTCAGGTGGGCACACAACCTCACTCAGTCCCTGGAGCTGCCAGACTTGGAGGCCGAGTCAGGGGTTGCTGGATGTTGCAGGGGTTGTGGTGCACGGATGGTGACAGTAAGCATCAGCAAGATGCGACACGCTTCGGACGGCGTTGCAGCATGCTGCAGCACGTTGGGGCAGAAGCATCAGAAGCAACATGTTCTGACCTTTCATTCACCGAGCGTGATATCTGCGCGTGCACCTCTACAAGCAGGTTGCCAAAGTTGTGTTTTGCAGCGGTAGTGATCCAGGCTTTCCGGCGGCTGCGCCGGAACTACGCGCCAACGTTCCTGCCTGCTATGCAGCCTCCCTCGGTGCAGATGGGGGCTGCTCAAACTTAACTCAGAGATTCCTCCACTCGTGAACTTTCTGTACACGGCATCGTGTAGTTCGCAGAGTTCAAAGTGATCCATTACTGTAGCACGCTATCAGTATGCTGCGCCTCTCTCACAAGGATTTGGTGGCAACGGACGTCTTCTGGACGGGCCCAGCACAAGCTGGCAACTGAACTGCAGAGCCCCAATTTCCCAACGACGAATTCACATGATGCGCTTCCGCCGGGCATTTTTTTAGCGTCGTTGTAGTTTGAGCGTTTGTAGTTGCGGATTGGCCAAGGTTGGGCCAGAAATTGGACAAAGTATTGGCTGCCGGCGGGTGGAGATGTATGGGGTCAGCAGGAAAGGTAGTGCAAAGACCTCTCTCTTGCGGTGTGCTTTGCAGTGTCAAAATCGTTGTAGACATCGTTGGCAGACAACGCACTTGGATGCGGGGAGAAAGCAGTTCAGACATGTACATCTGCTCCCAGCAGCAACTTATATAGTTCCATTTTGTTTCTCAGTTTGTGGTCGTGCACCTCAACATGCAGCTTCCCCCTGTGTGGCACACCGCAGGACAAGACTGCTACCACATGATGCCATGACGAACCGATTACAACTATGTTGCACGCAATAAGTCCCGGAGCATGAGTCTCTCTTCCGCCCCCTGAGGGTGTCTTTGCCATGTCCGCAATGGAGGACTTTGCAGTGGCAGAGGCGCGTGTGTGCGAGCGCATCGCCGGTTGGTCTTGCACACCCAGCTCTGATGCAGGCCCTTGATGCCCTGCACCGCGTGGGCAGAACCCGAGGTGTAGATGCCCTGCTGGTGCTTCGTAGCATGGCGAAATTGGATTGGGGTCCGGGAGGGCAGCCTTCGCGCGGCGGGTTTGGATCGGGGGAAGAGGTCCACATTGCAGCTGTCAGTGCAGTGCAGATTGTGTTTGGGGTTTGACGTCAGCAAAGCAGGAAATAGCTGCCTTGTTTGCTGGCGGCACTGCCGGGAGGATTGCTGATGGGCTTTGGTCATTGCATGCCGGGAACAAACTGGATTGCGCAAGTACAGGAAAGTCTAATTATCCATATTGCATGTCCTGTCACCTTGGAGCTTTGTTTGATACTGTTCCGAAAGCCCAAGTCGTAAGTCCCCGGACACGTTGCGCGACGAGCTTGGCCTCTCGGAGATCTCCTAACTGCAAATGGAGAGTCGGAGAGAAGAAGCGACTAAGGTGCGGCGAGCAACTTTGTGCAGCCTTGGCCCGGACACCATGTCAGCGCAGACATGGACTCTCAGTCCTATGCCCTTGTATGTGAAAGGCATATGGAGGGTTTTTGCTGTCTTTGCCACATGCCCAGCTAAGGACTTTTTCGAAGAGGCTGCTTGCGAAGCAGCATTCCTGGCAGGCTCAGAAGTGGTCCGGAGGCTAGTTGCGAGGACAGCGCTTTCGTTCTGAAATGTTATTTTAAAAATTGCTTATCTTACGGTAGAATGAGATGCTAGGGCCTTAGAGTCATTGTGGAGGGATCTATTTCTCCTTGATACATACTCGTTCCCCTTCCATGCATTCTTTCTGATCGTTATCTCTTTTTGTTAAAAGAATAATTTCCGGTTAATTTTGCAACCAGCCCAAAAGCACTAACACTCACAAAGACGCAACGCCCTTCCACATAGATGCAAGCCTTTGTTCAGTCACATGTGCTCGCTGCTTAGAGGTTGTGGCTGCAATGTGTGCTGCACATCCTGTCCAGAAGTTCCTCACTTTCATGGGGTTTAGGGTTTAAGGTTTAGTATTGGTTCCTGAAGTTCCTGAGCTTGGGCAGTGAGTTAAGCCAGTAAAGGGGATGCTGCACGGAGGTCTTTCGTGGTCACGAATTGCACGAAGTGTCTCTAGATCTGCCGAAGCAGTTTGGCACGAAGCCCACAGAGGCCCAAATATGTGCCTGATTCATTTCATGAACGTCTTAGTTTCGTGTTCTGACAATCGCCTGCGTTTTGTGATAGAGCCCTTGTCGACAAACGTTGTCATGAAATATGTTGAAGTATGATGAGGGTCTTTCACAACTGCGGGGGCTTTGGCAGTGGTCCAGCATGGTCTGCTGAGAGCTCTCGGCCCAACTGAAAAGGTGCAAGCTCAGTGCGCACTGTCCTGTCTAGATTCTAGATGGCTGGCTGACCTTCTGCACAGAACTTTGTGACAGGAGCTCCAAGCCCGCTGACCTCGAAGTGTGAACAAGACCAATTCACCCCCGATGAGCTCCACACAATGTTTGCGACCCTCCACCAAAGCATCTGATCTGTATCTCCGTGAGGGGGAAGACTAGCCTCGAGGTGGTTATGCGGGACAAAATGAGCTGGTTTGCTCATGATGACTTGTGGCTGTGGTTAACTTGCTGTCTGTCAGTAATCTTGCTCGGTAGCTTCGACACCAGTGCTCCCTGGCCCGCTCCATTGTCGAGTGGCTTTGTCAAGCTCCAGCCACTGACCAGAAAAACGCTTGTGCTGAAACCCGGAAGGACCTGCATTTGCTTGCAACTGGTTTTTGCTTATGTGCTTGCGCTTGTTCGGGAGCATGAGGAGACATGAGGAGTGGGGCGCAGATCAAATGGTTTAATGGAGCCTTCTGCAATCGTTTACGCTTTGGGGTGCCTCGATCAAGCTGTGCAGACTGAGTGGTAAGGCAGAGCAAACACCAAATGCTCGGTGGCGATGAGCAAGTGCCCTTGTACGACGTTTAGCGACAACATGCGACAAAGCGACCTTGTACGATGTCTAGCGAAAGGGAGACCGTGTAGCTCAAGGTTCAAAGTCCATGGCTGCAGAGAATATGTAAGCGATTGACTCAAAGATTTACTTCTGTCATGGAGTCCACGGCGCTGCCGCCCGATTGTAGCTGTCCGATCACGCAGGCGAGCTGTGACATCAGCGATTGTTTCGGAATGTGCTATGAGTCGTTCGATGTGACATCATGAGCAGTGAGGACTTGATGGAGGACCCGGTAGTGGCTGCAGATGGTACCAGCTATGAGCGGCGTGCCATCCAGCAGTGGTTACGAAGCTTCCTGGCGGCAAATGGCGCGTCTCCGGGTATCTCAGGGCTTGGTCAAGCGAGATCCACTGTCTGCTGAGCCCAGTGCGCATTCCCAGGTCACCGCACAAGTCCCCTCACAAATCTGCCGTTGGCAAGTGCGTCTCGGCGGTGAAATCAGACGAGCTGTCGCAGCCAGATCCGGTGCAGGGTAGCTTCGCTACAAACCCCTAAGTAGTGGGAAAACATGAGGCAACATAATTTGTGCTGGGATCATTTCACGTGGCCTTGTTGCTGTATATTGCTGTTGGGCGAGATGTGGTGGGTCCTACTCAAAGTGCTGTAGCCGGCCTGGCCTTGAACCAAGGAGGACCTCATTCCAAACAACGCCTTGAGAAGCGTGATCCAGGCCGAAAAATCAAGACAGTCTTGTCCAGCAGCAGCATGCGAGCTGCGAGAAATTGCGAGAAGCAGCGTTCCCCACTGCAAAGTGCATATGATATGCGAGATGCTGTATTCTCGACCCGCACTCTGCTGGAGTTCCAGGAGTTTGTCGGCAGGCTGTCGGACACGCAGCGCCGTGAACAGGACACAACACACTTCAGACACCACTGTTCCGGAAAGCTATTGCAGAAATTTACAGAGACCTGACGCAAGTTTCGCAGTTAAGCAGTTGCATGGAAAGATGGTTCGCCTCTTGGCATTTCTTGTTGACGTAGACATTTTTTTGGTGCAGGAGTTGCGATGGCAGCGCCAATCCGAGACCCTGTGGAGCGGCCACTCGACAACAAGGGGGGAAGTAGCTAGAAGGCTTCGGGTACACTCATTTTTTCGCTCGGGGCTAGAGTCCCTGGCGAATGGGCTTGTTACGGCCTGTTGATCTTGCTTGTCCGAAAGTTTTGTTACCCAAGCCAGGCACCGGCAAGCTACCGCCTACGGTTTCAGAGCCACGAGCGCCATGGGACATTCGCCTTACAGACAAGGAGATGGAGGCCAGGCTAGCAGCTGATGCCTGCATGGTGCCTCCACTGCCTTCCACTGCCGTCCACTGCCTCCACTAGTCTCTGTGTGTCTTGGGAGGAAGGCGGCCCAGCTCTGCTCCTGCTTACAATGAGCCGCCGGGTAGCCCTGCTTCACGCAGCGTTGCGAGAAGCTCCGCCATCTTAAGACAGAATTTAAGACAGCAATGGAGCATCAATGAATGAGATAAGACATGCGAAGATGCGAAGCACCAGCGCAACGCGCACGCCTTTTTAAAACCAGCGGAAATTGCGCAGCGTTCAAAGGCACCTCCAACAGCAGCAAAGTTATCCGTACAACCACCTGTGGCCGAGCATCGGGATTGGCATGAGCACAACTTTGCGTTTGCAAGTAGCAGAGTATCGAAGATGTCGAAAAGCTTGTGCGAAGATTGGCTTGCCAGCGCCGCTTGGCTCTACACCGCTTAGCCCAGAGCGCCAAGTCATGCCACAACAAGAACAACGGCAGCATGACTGCATGCTACTGAGACACAACCCAGCCACTCGACACCTAGCCCACCTGTAGCACTTTGGCACAGCCACGTGCCCGGGAGCTCATACTTACGTGGCAATGCGAAGCTGCTCGAGACGTTGATTGTAGACCGTAGCAACTAAGGCACGCATGACGCAGCCATCCAACCCCGCCACAGCCAACAGTAGCCCTGTCAGTTTCCCAACTCTGAGAGTCAAGACAGCTATGGCCCCCCCGTTAAAGCCAACTCCCACTCAAGCGTCGAACTTTACTCTACTCACCTTCAGCTGACCTTCATGTTCTGCTTACCTTATGGAGGAGGAGCCGAATCCAAGGTTGCGCGGACGTTCGTCATTTTACCGCTTAGAATCGTCTTCGCAGTCTTCACCCCTGCAACTTTTTGCTGCGCTGGGAGGTTTAAGCTTTACTCAATCCTCCAGCGCTTGATCGGGCGGCCTCTGACGTTGAATGATATTGCCTGGCCCAAAGCGAATGTCTGAATGCATTTTCGTTTCTGGGGGGGGATTGTACTCCACGTACGAGATGCAAGCATGTGTGAGTCCGAGTCCAAAGCTTTCGCTGTGTTTTGTTGTGCTTCTAAATAATGGCTTGTTCCCGGGCCCAGGTCATCACACACCAGATCCTTGGCACAATTAATTCGGCTCTGGCTCACTCGTATGACCCGGTCGGTTAGACATTGCGAAATGCACAGCGTTTTCGAGGACATGGCAAGTCGGCACTCAAGCAACGGTGACCCTCGTGTGTGCAGAGGACGGGCGGAGCAGTCGAATATTGAGCGCTGTCCAGTCTTTTCCTTCAGAACAAGGGAAGAATTGAGCAGCCGCTGCGAATTCGATCGGAGTGTCAGCCACGCAGACAAGGCAATCAAAGCCGGACCCTCTTTACCGTCCCAAGAAACTGTTCAAACGATACCCTGACGTGGGCCTTTGGAAATGTAACGGGCAGGCCTCGAATTCCAAGGCCATGGGGTCCTCGAGGCACCTGACACACACCGCCTCCTATCTCGGCGCCAGGGCAGAGAAGCTGCCAGCGAGTTGTGCCCGACAGCCAGGGAGGCCGAGGAGAGTGCCTGCCACCAGGCGCAGTTTGGTACGTTGAGTTGAAGGGAGGTGAGCAATGAGCCCCCAGTACAGGAAGCTGTGCGTTGCACTCCGAAAGCAATCCCCCCAAATGCCGCAAGATCAATCTCAAACTTCTGCAACAGCTGAGCACCTGTCTGGCTGATGACTGGCAAATATCCTTTTGAGACAAGGGAAAACAGTTGCACAGTTTGTGTACAGCATTTGGACACAATCTGGTTCCAGATTTGAGCAGGCTTGAACTTTGGAAAGACCGGGTCCCTTGCAGCAGGTTTCTTACTTGTCATAGGTTGAGTTCAATGAATGCGTGTGTGGCTGTTGGACGCAGACCTGTGATTCGAGATTGTCTCGCCGCCGCTGGCGGTTCCATGGGGCAGGCGCTTCTGATATACGGGGATGAACTGAGCGAGCTCATTGCCGCGCAGCCGCAGCCACCTCCACCAGCCAAGCGGACAGGCTGCGATGGGGGTTTAGGGTTTCGGGTTTAGGGTTTAGGGTTTAGGGTGGGTGATACAAAGACCTCTTGTTTGCAGGTCTACACGAAGGTGGTTGTTGCTGCACAGAGAAGTTTCCGCAGTGTGGAATTTGCCACGGAACTGTGTTTGTCAGACCCCAAGACGAAGACGCTGCTAGAAAGAAAAGAAGATGAGTATTTATCCCTTCCTGTCTTTCTTCTTCCCCGGCCACCTTGTTCACAGGAAGGTCTGGGAGGGATAGAGGAAGGGAGCGGGGAGAGATGGGGAGAGTTCCATATTGGATAGTGATCAGCAGCAGGAGGATCGACTTTGCCGGGTATGCCCCAGCAATCATGATTCATGGGTCATTCATCCCCTCTGCGTTCTTGAAATTCATCAGAGCAAGGGATCCGAATTCAGCCCCACCCTATCATTGCAGACGTGAGAATGGCAGATCAACTCAACGTGCATCATGTGACTCCTGCATACACACGTACGACTACGACGCGCGACGAATAGGAAATTTTTGGGGTGTGTGTATATATATATACATATTTTCTTGGTCCAACTTTCTGCAAGAACAGACCATAACTACACGTATGGGCCACAGGAGTCGGCAAGATCGAGGTCCAAGAACTCGATGCAAGCACAAGTAATGACGAGCACTTGAAAATCCATCCGCACGACTGCAATCCGCAACCTACTGTATGATGTGAAGTTCGTTCTCTTCACGACCTTTTACGGGAAATACTTCGACTCTGGCCGACGAGGTCTTGATTTCGTAGTAGAGGGAAGAAGTGGAGGTGGAGATTGTGGAGTTACCCCACATCGGATCTGTTCTTCCAATCTCTCTGTAACGATCTGAGAGCATCATTCTTGCGAACAAGCTCTGAGAATTTGCCTTTGATGCTTTCAGCCCCGTGCCTGTGGACTCGCACGAGTTCAAAGAGCATGCACAGTAACAGTAAGTAGTGCAAAGCTCGCCACTCTAATTTGGGAACGAGAAGCAACCAGCGAGTAAAGAAAGCAAAAGAAGTCACAAGCTCAGATCTGAGTGGGCGACTGCGACAGTCAGTTGGGAGTGAAGGCCGCTCCCCGAGTGCACCACGCTTCAGGCCAAAAACGAATTTAAAAGGGATCGAGTAGCTATAGTCCAACGAAAACACGGTGCAGTCGCGGAGGTGTCGTGGTTTTGCCCCCGTCCAAGCGCCAGGCCAGGTCCCGAGCTGCAAGGTTGCGTTTAAACCCTAAACCCTAAACCCTAAACCCTAAACCCTAAACCCTAAACCCTAAACCCTAAACCCTAAACCCTAAACCCTAAACCGGCACGCGAGCAGCACAGCTGCGATCTCTTCTGTAGCCGGACCTCATGCCAAAACCTGCCACATGCTCCTTGGAGCTCATGCACACATATCTTTTCATCTCCGTAGACTGGCTTCTGCTTCTGCAGGCGAGAGTTGAAGCGTTTCCACGGAATCAGTCTTTATTTTGTTGGGTTTTCCCAGTATTCAGTGACAGCCCCGGAGGCGCTTGCTGGGCCCGCGTCGCAGCCTCGGAGAAGGTTTACAAGTCACAGTGGTTGCCATGGTGCCCCTTTGGGCGCCTTGAGAGCACAATGCACCTGTTTTCAACATTCAAAGTCTCCTGCAGGGGCTCGCCGGCAAAGCTGCCGAGCGCTCGAAAGCCTGTACACAGAAGGGGTTGAAGCAGCAATTGTGGGCATCTTGTGGGCAGCACGAAAGAAAAGCCGTCATGAGGAAGAGTGCCTGCTTGGTCTCCTGCGCAACTCATGAACCGACTTCCAGGTTGGTGGCTACACCAAAACCTGTTGCCAGACCTGCGGACCCATTGGAAGCCTGGCTTACTTGCAGCATTGCACCACAGACTCGCCACACACCGGTATGGATGTCATTCTTACCGGTGCGAGCTTGAAACTGAGGAAGTTAAGGAGAGAGAAGCGCTGGCAGATCAGCTGCGGCCTTACGACAATTCTGAGGGAGAGCAGTCGCCCAGCTCATGTGACTCATCTACTCAATAGGTTGAAAGTGCACGTCACTGCACTAGGCTTTGTATGGTTCTGTTGCGGCAGGGCAGACGCATCTCGCACAGATGATCCTGCAGAAGACGCCGCTTCTCCTGAACAAGCCGAGAAGGATTCTCTCGATGGCTTCACGCACGAGGAGATTTCAGCTTTGCAACTTTGATGCACATGGCAGCCAAGGGGCAGGACGCGCGATAAATCCTTAGCTGCCACGATGAAGCGACATGTTCCTTACCCCAAACTTCGCCAAGAACCCCTAAGAGAGCTTTGAAAGAAATGTCGGACACATTGGAGGTGGCAACTCCATGCGCTCTTTTTGCAGTCCGTTTTGTCGTGTTTTGTCATGCCCGCATCTACGATGTCAGTGAAGCTCAGGTCCCAGGCAACTGCAAAGTCAAGGGCGCAACCTTTTTCAGCCATTTCAGCCGCCTGGCGGAGCTTTAGACGCCAGCTTCAGAGACATGAAAACCACTGCTACCTTGGAGAAGTGCACGAAAACACTCGCGAGCGCTTATCCCAGCTTGGCAGGCTCAGGCGCTCAACCAGCTGCCAGAGGTGAGCGTGCCACAGTCGCAGCCGCCATCGGACATCTTCCGCGCCATGCCTAAGCAGGACAAGACACGGAGACCCACTGAAAAGCAATTCCAAGGCCACTTTGTAGCTTGCCGAACCAGAGAAGAAACAAACTGACCCCTCAGAGCCTCAGCAGTGCTGATGCAGTGCTCCGCAGAGCCTTCGAAGCCTAAACCAATCGCAGGATACCCCGAAGATCAGGACAGATGGCAAAAGGCTCTTCACAAGTCCCGCAGAACCATCCACTGTATCTCATGTTAAAAGTAAGACATTCAGAGATCCGATCATCTGTACCCCCGCACAAGGTCCCCCACCAAGAAACAGCACAATAAAAGGTAGTGACAGGTGCAGTCATCCGTTTCAGATGGACATCAAGATGCATTGAAGCATCAAGAATCAAGAGCAGCGAAAGCGTGATTACCAGGATTTAATGGCGCTTTGCGGCAAGATCGCCAGGAAGCAGATGGAGAAAGGCGCGGCGGGTTGCAGAGATGCAGGGGGCTTCCGGCCGAACTTATTTGCTGAGCTTCAAACGACCGCCACCATTGCCACATATTGCCAGCCAAATATTCTTAAATGTTATCGCATGTCACGGTCCCCCCCCCCCCTTGTTATCACAATTCTTGCGCAGGTGAGGTTGCCTATACCACACAGCTGGTGCCCTTGGCTTTGGAGAGCAATCAGCTTCAGGAAGGGCTCATGGGCTTCTCTGCCTTTGGGTAGATATGACTGATATTTTTCTGGCCGTTCGGATACAGAGCAAACAAAGCGAACGAAGCCTCGGAGCACAAGCCTCGGAATTCCGCTGCAAGGTACAGGGCGGGGGTTTCCAGAGCACAGTCACTCTGCGATGCTTGGACGGGGACTGGGCCAATGCAGCGTTCGTTGGTCAAGTAAGCCGTGACAAGGCAGGGACGAGATCCTGCGTTGGCTTAAGCATGTTCTGCACGCTGCAGAATGAACATTGGTGCTTTGAAGCCGCCGGACCTCCTTCTAGAGTCTTCCAGAGCGCAGCAAACAGTTGAAGAGCGCAGTTGAGAGATGTCATATATATATATATATGGTCACCCCCCCCCAATGGACCCACCGCGGGCCTTGATCTTTGCAAAAGTACCGCAAATACCGATAAAACCTATGCTGTCTGGTGATTTTCCGGTGACCGGATTTTTGACTGTATTCCTTAATTCACCCTCTCACACACGCACGGAGGGTTTTTCTTTCTGTTGGCTTTTGTTTATAATTTAGTTTAAGATCTAGGCATTTAAACCTAAGCCTGCAAAAAAAAAACCTTAAGCTTTAAACCCTGTAGGGTTAAGGTTTAAAGGTTAAGGGTTTAAGATTTAGGCATTTGAACTTATGCCGGTAATTAAAGCTAAGCCCTTAACCTTTAAATTCTATCGGGTTGAGATTTTTACAGGTTTAGGGTTTAAGATGTAGGCTTTAAACCTAAGCCTGCAACTAATTTTAAACCCTTAACCTTTAAACCCTGTAGGGTTAAAGTTTAGAGGCTTAGGGTTTAATATTTAGCCATTTAAACCTGTAGCCAAGCCCTTAACCTTTAAACCCTATAGGGTTAAGGTTTAGGATATAAGATGTAGGCATTTAAACCTAATTAAGCCTGCAACTAATTTTAAACCCTTAACCTTTAAACCCTGTTGGGCTAAGGTTTAAAGGTTTCGGGCTTAAGATTTAGGCATTTAAACCTATTCCGGCAATTTACGCTAAGCCTCTAACCTTTAAACCCTATAGGGTTAAGATATTTACAGGTTTAGGGTTTAAGTTTAAGGTTTAGGTATTTAGACCTATGCCGGCAGTTCATATTGAACCCTTAACCTTAAACCCCATAGGGATGAGATTTAAAGGTTTAGGATTCTTTACTTCGACATTTAAATCCAAGCTGACGATTCAACCTAAACCCTTAACCTTTAAACCCTATAGGGTGAAGGTTTAAAGTTTTAGGGTTTAAGATTCAGACATTTAAACCTAAGACAGCGATTAACACTAAGCCCTTAACCTTTAAACCCTATAGGGTTAAGGTTTAAAGGTTTGGGGTTTAAGATTCAGGCATTTAAAGCTAAGTATGTAATCAATTTGTCACCCTTAACACCTCTAAACTCTGTAGTGTGAAGGTTTAAAGGCTTAGGGTTTAAAAAAACCTAAGCCCCCTAAGCCCATAGAGTTTAAACCTTAAGGGTTTAAGGTTTACGCATCTATTCCTTAACCCTAAACCCTCTAGGGTCAGGACCCTAAAGCCCTCGGCAATCAAGCCTAAACCCTTGACCTTCAAACCCCATAGGATGAAGGTTTAAAGGTTTGGGGTTTAAGACTTAGGCATTTAAACCTAGAGGGCATTTAAGCCTTAATCCTAAACCCTTTAGGGTCAGAACCTTAGCACCCTATAGGGGTCTAGCACGTTCAAAGGCTTGAACCCTACAGGCGCTGAAGGTATACATGTCCTATCGGTTTTTAAACCATTACACCCTGTAAGAAGGTTTAGGGTCTTTTCGGGGTCTATCTCTAAATTTCTCACGGGGTTAACCCTGCAGGGTTTAAAGTTAAAGGTTTAGGGTTAAAGGTTAAGGCAATACCTATAGGATTAGAACCTTATAACCCTGTAGTGCATGAGGCTTAAACCCCTAAAACTTAACCATCTTTTTCTCGAGAAAACCAAAAAAACCAAAAAAAACCAAAGAAACCAAAAAAACAAAAAAAAAACCAAAAAAAACATCTTTTCCAAAACTATGGGGCTGGGGCCTTCAAGAGATGGTTTTTTTGGTTTTCTCGAGAAAATGATGGTTTTTTTGGTTCGAAACCATCTTTTTCTCGAGAAAAAGATGGTTTTTGAGCAGCCGCTCTTCGAAAAACCATCTTTTTCTCGAGAAAAAGATGGTTTTTGGAGATCTTGTCCTGGAAAAACCATCTTTTTCTCGAGAAAAAGATGGTTTCCGGAGGTCTTGTCCTGGTAAAACCATCTTTTTCTCGAGAAAAAGATGGTTTTTGGAGGTCTTGTCCTGGTAAAACCATCTTTTTCTCGAGAAAAAGATGGTTTTTCGAAGGATGGTTGCTCAAAACAATCTTTTTCTCGAGAAAAAGATGGTTTCGAACCAAAAAACCATCTTTTTCTCGAGAAAACCAAAAAAACCAAAAAAAAAAACCATCTTTTCCAAAACTATGGGGCTGGGGCCTTCAAGAGATGGTTTTTTTGGTTTTCTCGAGAAAAAGATGGTTTTTTTGGTTCGAAACCATCTTTTTCTCGAGAAAAAGATGGTTTTTGAGCAGCCGCTCTTCGAAAAACCATCTTTTTCTCGAGAAAAAGATGGTTTTTGGAGATCTTGTCCTGGAAAAACCATCTTTTTCTCGAGAAAAAGATGGTTTTTGGAGGTCTTGTCCTGGTAAAACCATCTTTTTCTCGAGAAAAAGATGGTTTTTGGAGGTCTTGTCCTGGTAAAACCATCTTTTTCTCGAGAAAAAGATGGTTTTTAGAAGAGCGGCTGCTCAAAAACCATCTTTTTCTCGAGAAAAAGATGGTTTCGAACCAAAAAAACCATCTTTTTCTCGAGAAAACCAAAAAAACCATCTTTTGGAGGCCCCAGCCCCATAGTTTTGGAAAAGATGGTTTTTTTGGTTTTTTTTGGTTTTTTGGATTTTTTTGGTTTGTTGGTTTTTGTTAGTTTCTTGTTTTGTTGTTTTTTGCCTTGATCTGGCTAGGACTCGGCTGCCATCCGCGGTGGGTCCATTGGGGGGGGGGTGAGCTTATTTACATACACATAGATATATACATATTCATATATACATATATATATATATATATACATATGTATATAGGTGGTTGAACAGATGTGAACTCCTTTTTGGTGCGCTGCACGATCTTGGAGCGCCTGCAGGGCACCGCGGAGCACTCCGCGGCCTCCGTCGCGCTGACGGAGCTGTGCGCTGATGAAGGATTGGTTGCCAGGCAGAGGATTCAGGGTTTAGGGTTTAGGGTTTACGGTTTAGGGTTTAGGGTTCATGGGAAGAGAAGATTGGTAAAACTCACAAGGAAGGATGGGGAATGCTGGTCAATGCTTGTGAAGGTCGTGGCCACATGCCGCATGCCATCAGCAGCCACGCCCAACGGAAGATGTATCCCTCGAGAATGAACCTCCCAAGTAAATAAAGCCGTGCACGCATACCTTTGAACTTTGAACTGGAAACAGGGCGAATGCCAAACGAGTGCCCTGGCCGCATTGAGCCGAGCGTTGGTGCGATTTGGCGACAATCCAGACCGTGAAGCCTTCATTTGATTTCACTTGACTTCGTTCCGCTCACCCCCAAGCGCTTTCCGGTCGAATGGCAACTTCAATAGATCATATCCTCTTCGTGATCGTGCTGGCGAAAATCTCAGAATTCTAAGCCCAACCAGTTCGATCAGGACATTGTTTCGCAACCGAGACCTGCTTCAACACTCTAGCGCAAACGCCCGGCAACAGGACCCAAATGATCCTTTCAACCTCAAGGTCCCTGTCCTTCCCCCGCCAAATCTTTGGTCATTGGACCCATTGGAGCTTGCGGGAGTGTTGCAACCTGTTTTGGATAAAAGCGAGTGGGGAAGGAGTCTGGGGGGGGTTTGGGGGGGGAGGGGGGGAGGAGGGGGGGGGGAGGGGGGGAGGAGGGGGGGAGGAGAGGGGGGGGAGAGGGGGGGGAGGGGGCAATGCCCGTAAAGCCCAAATCCTGAACAGATTTCCTTAGCAGCGGCCTCCATCGCCACGTTGCAATATAATAACCCGGATCTGCTGACCTATCCATCCATCTCCTTTACCCACCGATTCGAAGGGCTTAGACTGTTCAGAATCTGATCCGCCTTGCAGGTTTGCAGGTATGCCAAGAACGTTCCGTCAGGGCGTCACCTTGGGAAATAAAGCATGTCTACCTATATCGGTGAGATTCTGTGAGCTTCGCTCACCTAGTGACCTAGAATCGAGGCGTCTAGTTGCAGAGTTTTTGCCGACGTTTTCGTGAGCCATCGATTTGCCTGGTACAAGTATTGGAATTGTCGTTTCCATGAGCCACTTGTCGTACAAGCGTAGTACTGAAATCGACTCTGAAAAGGGCGTCCCGTTTACTTGGTGATCCATGACGGAAGCTGCCCCCGTGGAGCTAGCGGATGATCTTCCCAACTACTTTTCGGTTGAACTACAGGAATGCGGGGGGGGGGGGGGTCCATCTAGAGGTGGTCAAAATCGGGCCTGAACCCCACCTCTGGTGTGGGTGTCTCACCCCTCGGTTTTTGAAGCTTCGAACGGTTCCGCACGAGCTTCCCCAACCTAGGGCGCTTAGGCTATCTCAGGCTAAATGCGCCCCTTAGGAAACAGGCAAAACTTGGGCTGGGGATGGCTTCCGATCAGGTCGGAGGTGTTGCGGGGCTCGGAGGTGGTCAGATTTGTGCGGGCCTTTGTGGGCTGCTGCTCGTCGCCTGTCTCGCCTAGAAAAAGGATGTCCCCAAACAAGGCGTCAACACTGGCTCTCTGCCAGAGGCAGACTATGCCTCACACTTTGCCGCATGAAACCTTGTTGCCTGGCGCCTCCCATATCTCGAACCCTCATCTTGAATCGGCTCGGTCAAAAGATGTGGCCCCTCCAGCAACCGGGTCAGCTGTCGTTTCACCTGTCCCCCCTCAAGTTCATGTATGAGCCATCAAACGCTAGACTGCTGCAGCTATGCCCGGCGAGAAAGAGACGTGCAGATTTTGATGTTTTCGCGCCTGTGTCAATGCATGGGGTCGAAGTGCCGAAAACTTGGGGATTCGCTGTGTCTGGGGTGCCTTCTTGCAGGGGTGGGGCGCCCACATGCGCCCACCCTGTAGCATTTTGTAGTTGTCCGGCGTTTGAGGTGTTGTCAGTGTGCTGCGTGACTGGGCTTCCAAGGACAAGCCGAAACCTGCTGGGGGAAGAGGAAGAGGTGGAGGTGCTGCTCCGATTTTGTGCCTGCCAATGAGGGGTTTGGGTTCCTCTGATGGCAGGGCCATCCTCTTACAGCCCCCATCCATGGCCAGGACAATGGCGAAGTGCGATTGTGCTTCCAAGAAGAGTTCAGGCCAGGTCGACGGAGCAGCATCGACACAGGGGCAGTGTCAAGAGGACAGAAGCACTGCCTATGCCAGCTGAAAGATGCATTTGATGAACACGCCGAGGTGCCAGGGCTAGTTCAAGCCTCCAGCGATGGCATGTTGTGACGGCTTTCGTATAGCCCGGCGACAAGCCCGAGACCGGAAGCAAAAAAGGGTCTGCTGGCTGCCAGGGTCTGCCATACAAACCTCGGCCGTGCGGAGTCTTGGGATTCAAGTTGTTTGCCATCAATCCTTTTGTTCTGAAGGCTTGCCTGCCATGTCCTGCCATCACCCCTTATATGTCACTTCTGTTGCCCTCAGTTGCTTTGGGGTGCAAACACATGCAAACACGTCGCTCCGCGTACAGTTTCGGGTTGTAGGGGGCAGGCAACCTGTCAGAGGCCTAGATGCAAAGAAGGGGGCAGGGCGAGGCCCCGCCGAAAAACCTACGTTACGTATGCACATAATGAGGTTCTAGGGCTGGTTGGCGTAACTTCGCGGCGTAGCTGTCGCCTCCTCCTTGGCCCTCGGCTTGACCGAGTATGACCTAGCCGTTAGGCACTTTGAATGACGTCTACATCGCAAAAGTACCATGTTACGCCAGACGCTCCCTGCCTTTTCTCGCTTCAGGGTTTTGGGCTTTGAGGGCGATTGCGCATTTGAAAGGTTTTGTTTGCTGGGCATGACTTGCCATCGCTGGTTTGGGGAAGAGCGTTGTTGCGAGACAGGGCTCAATGCAGCTCCTCCGCAGGAGCCAGCACCACAAGAAGAAATCACACTTCTTCTTTCTTCCGCAGGCATGCGAAGCAGGCTCCCAGTGTTTTTCTCCGCACGCTGAACAGAGCGCCCTGCTGAGCTCTTCAAGGACAGTGTGAAGCGCATGTTGGGTCGTCCGAATTCGGTGCAGAATAGATCTTTTACCAGCGAGTTTGTCCGAGTGATTGATGATTTGCGTGCAGCTTCCCTGGATGAGGAGGAGCCTTCAAGCAGTGTACAGTTTCGGCTGGGCTCTTGTCAGGGCCTTTGGCGCAGTTTCCACAGTTTTCCTTCCGTGCCCATGTTGACCATGAGGCTCATCGGATCCCTTGAAGTTCCAGAGGAACAACTGGGAAGCCAGTTTATGTAGGGCGCTCAACAAGTGGCAGGTTCCTGCAGTGGTGGCTCACTCTTAAAATTTGCCCTCCATGACTTGAAGCGAAGCGCCAAGGACGGATCCACATCTTAGTGGAGCTGCGAAGCTGAGTCTTGCAGCGCGGCGGAAGATTTGGACATGTTTGGACCCTTGAAGGCTTCAAGGTGGGTAATTCCTGCATAGAGCTTGCATGGGGAGACCTTCACGACAGTTTTCAGCAGTTGGCATGCCTTTCTTGCTGCCTGGAAGATGCAGCTTTCAACAATGAAAGATTCATCGCGGGCATAGAAGAGATTCCCATAACTCAGGTTGCGTTTTGGTATGTCGTGCTGGCGCCCCGGTGTTGCCTGGGCCAATGTTACCAATGTTGGCCCTTCCCCGTTGCTTCAGCACACATGCGGAATGACACGGATGCCTGGCAATAAAATCATTCGGCACAAGCGCCTCTCTGCGTGAAGGTCATTCTTCGGCATTGTGCTGAACAAGACGATCCTCTCACCAGGCGGGAGGTGCCTTTGTCCGTGTCGTGGCTCTTCAGGCGCAGTCCGAGTCAGGGTTGTGACCAGCACTGCACCCGACGGTTTTTTCCAAGGCACATAGTACATGTACAGCACACCGTGCACATCACCGTGGCCTTGACAGGTGAACAAGGCCGTGTTGATGTTGGGCCTTTGGCTTTGGTGCTGGTATTGGCCTTAGAGGGTCAGAAGGCTCTCTGCAACCAGGTTGCTTGACTTTCACCTGGGGGCCACAGAATCAGCATTTTGCAGGTCCAGATGCTGCAAGAGCCTTAGCATTCAGACAGCGTAGGACAAGCCTAGTCGGGTGTCCAGACCCTAACCCAAAGCATCCCGAAGTTGAAGAGCTGACCTGAAAAGAACACCGTGCTGCTTCCACGTACATTCTCAGACCCTCCCTCCTTGCCTGTATATGTTTCCTCACCCTAAAGGGGCATGTGTGTATCACATTGAGCCGAGTGAACGGTGACCAAGGTCCACGGTCGTCTTTGGCAAGATGCGCGAAGTCATTGGCAGGCCAGCGGGCTTCGAGGAGTAGCCCTGATCGAATGCTCATAACCAGACACATCTGCCCCAACTGTTCCAGCCGAGATATTTGGGCAGAAGTTGAGTTGCAGTGCAGTTGGGGGTTCAGACTCTTTTTGTATCTTTCCAGAATTCATGTTTGCGGAAGCAAATGCCGAAGAAGGTAACGTAACGAACCGATTCAGCAGTGCATGTGGTACACACGGCTGTGAGCACGCAGTCGTGGAGCTTCTTCCACTTCAACAGCGAAGCTAGATTGGGTCCAGAGCTTACGTTTGCCAAGTCGGGTTCGCATGAACCTGGCAAAATGTGGATGCAGGCAAACCGAACGATGAGAGTCAAGCTCCATTACGGGGGGGTTAATCTAAATCAGGGGCACCGTGCCCTAGATTAGGGAGAATATGCATGGGTGCCCTAGTTTGCTGGATCCATGGGAGGGATGGAGGGGGAGGGAGAGAAAGAGAGAAAGGAAAGAGCCCTCTCCAATTAGGGGGTTATACGCTCTCAAGCAAGCAAGCAAGAGCGCTCCTCGGAGTCGAGGTTGCAAGCCACTAGCGGTGGTCCCGGGGCATTCTCGCTGAGACTGGGTGTCCGGATGAACAAGGGCACTAGCTAGCAGACACATAGGACATAGCAGTTGTGGCAACTCAGTGGCATCCCGAGAGATGGGCCAACAGCCTTGGGGTCGACAGCTCGCTGCTCCTGGACTTGACCCAGGGGCGTGCCGGTGCGCCGGGGGGTGGGAGGATGGGAGAAGGAGAGAAAGAGAAAGAAAGCAAGAAGAGAGATACAATACTAGAGACTCAACCGGGCGCATTTGGATCACCCGCTGCGCGTTCTGGCAATTTCTGGCACCCGAGGTCAAGTTGAGAAAAAGCTTGCTGGTCCTTGGCCTCTTCCGGCAAGGCTCACAGAACTTGAGTTTTCAATCTATTTCATAAATCTTCGGGCCATCATCATCATCATCATGTCATTGCCAAGTGGAGGGGCCAGCAACCTGCACCAGAAAGTGCCAGAAAGTCTCCAAGGTCCAGACTGCAAACAGCAAAACAGCCGCACAGCTCACGTAACGAAGAGCATCAAAGCCTTGAATCCAAGCCTTCAAGCAAGTGGACTTTTGCATTGGAAGGTCTGGAGAATGCCCGTGTTACATTATGCTTCATGAGGTTCTTCGTGGCCGTGATGGGCTTAATCAGCTTGCGATACGTCGCGGCGTCCTTCACAGAGACAATCAAGGTTGCGCGGCCCTGGGCTGGGGACATGTCTGGCGCATTCGAGCTGCCTTTCCGAACAAGTATACTGGATATTGGGACAGGCCTCCAGCCCCTTCTTCACAGCTCGAGCCTTACTTGGGAGATCTTGGGAGCCTTGAATTGCGCTCTAAGTGGTCAAGACAGCAGCTGCTACGCTTGTGAACTTGTTCCTCAGCTGCGTGGCTGCAAGCCGCAAGCTAGTGCCAGGTGGTGGCTGCTTGGTTCTTGACCGGTGAGCAGACGCCGCCGGACGCTCACGTGTGATTGCCATGTGATTGTCGGCCTTACATGCCAACGGTCCTTTAGAGCAAGTTGCGGCGAGAGAAGGTGAGGCGGCTGTGCAGTTGCGCAAGGGCTTGCCGCACACAGCTTAACGGCATCTCCATGAATCTGACTTGAGGCTGCCGGTGATGATGACCCTGATACCGGTCATGCTAGGCGAGTCGGCCAGTTTAGGTTACACTTGCGAATCTTGCAAAAGGCATGCTGAGGACCCGAGAAGTGCGATGGGCACCTCTCACGTGATTCTGCTGACGTGAGGAGGAACCCTCAACCCCACAAAAACCCGAAACCCTTAAAAACCCTAAAGCACCCTTTGAAACCCTACGCAGCCCCAAAACAAACCTAAACAAACCCTTGACTGCCTTGATGCAACCTCAAAAATCAAGGCCTTTCAACAAAAGCACCAAAAAGCAGAACCCCCTAACACACGCTTTAAGCCTATAAAGGCTACAAATACCCTAAACCTTTCATCTCCAACCCTCAGTTTTGACGAGCGTGAGCGTCAAAACCTCGACCTTTAGGCCAAATACTCCGCCCCCGATTGCTGAAGGTTCCTGCAGGTGGCAGTGAGAGCCATGTTGCTCGAAAGGAAGGGTTCATCCTCCACAGTGCAGCAACAAACGTCTGCGGGTCACAGATCGAGCCTGCCAGGCCTCATCTCAGCCGCAGCCGGCGAGCACTCCTTCACGCACGCCTGAACCTCAGTTGAAAGAAGTGTCGCACTGTAGCACAGCACTAGAGAGAGACCCGAGTTCGGCAACCCGGAATACACATCTCCACGGTCAGAAAAGCTGGCAGCTGCTTACTTGCTGAGAAGACTCAAAAAGACTGAGACTGAGTCGCCAAAAGAAGTATTTTCTCTTTAACAATTGCAGACTCGAAGCCGGCAGGTTGGTTTTGCGGCTGCTGTCCTGGCCAACTTAGCCGAATGCGCAGAAACCTCAGTGGCATCCTGCATGTCAAGACCTGCGCCATTAGTAGAGCAGACTGGCAAGAATTTCGTGGGCAGGCAGTAGGAGCCCAGAGACTCCAAAACCCCTTAATTAAGGAATATACCTTAAATCATATAATTTAAGGTATATTCCTTAATTAAGGGGTTTGAGAGTCTCTGGACTCGGGCTGCATGCATGACAAGCCCACGAAAGCTCTGGGGCTCCGCGGAGGTGCAGAACGTTTTCTGCTCGCAGCTGCTTCAGCCATGGGCCTACTGCTTCTTGGAAACACTGTAACCGTGAGTAACCTTGAGTCATCTGTTAGCCTTTCGCGAGTCAATCTTAAGGCCGAAAGAAAAAGGAGAAAATTTGAAACACGGACGGCGGACCACAAAGCGTGCCGCGGTGTTTTCTGAAAGCTCGATTGTGGTGATCACGTGCGTCAGCTCGTTCGTCTGACTGCTGTAGACTTCGCCTCGCCTGGCGTGTCCAAGTTGCGAGGGTCGAAACTCAGAAATTGCTGGAACAGTCACGCCAGTGCCCCAATCATCCCGAATCCAAACCCTCCATTCGCAACGCCTCAGGCCGGTTGCCTAAGAGCGAAATTCAACCTAGCTCTATAATCCTAGCTAAATAGTCCACGACTTTATCTTGGTGAGAGCCTGTGATGACTTTGCACCCCCGTACCGCGAATATTGTTTCCATGCACGCCCAAGCTTGAGTGGATGACCATCCTGCAACTCATGTAGCATTTTTGTCCCCGGCGTGCACTCCGTTGCAAGTCGGATTGTACCTGAAGGTATGCTTGAATCATAGGGGCCATCTCACTTCTTTGCAAGCCGTAAAACCTGACTGCCTTTGTTTCTTTGTCCAGCATGGAGTCAGAGATGTCAGAGGCTGACGGGCACGAGGTCCCCCAAAGCTTGGAATGTTTGTCGTCTTGGGCTTGCTGGTGTGTTCGTCACCAGTGCCTGCAGCAGAAGCAGCAGCACAGAGTCACTCACGTCAAAAGAAGCAAAGCAGCGATTGCAAATCGGAGTCCAGTTCGCCATCTGAATCTGGGATTTGAATCGTATCACCGGAAGTTAGGCCCATCCAGGCTCTTGGCGCTCTAAGCTTTTTGAGGCTGGAAGAATACCAGCCACTGATAAGTTGGGAAGAATTGAGAAGGGATGAGGCGGGCCCGAGCACAGGTCTAGAGTTGAACACCGAGTTTCCAGACAAACCGCTCGGCGAACTATTGGCAATTGCGATCTGTTGCGACAAGCTACGGGCACGGGGCAGAGTCTGATTAATTATACAGGTCCGCGTAGAAGGCATTGAAATGATTGCCAAGTCAGGCTAGTCCTTGGCCAAGCGCAGCAGGCACAAGTAGCACCTGAGAAATTGGGTTCTCAGATCTGATGACGAACACAAGTGCCGCGTCTGAGAGGCCAGGACCTGATGGAGCCAGACTCACCTCCGGCCAGCTGGGTGGCCAAGAAGCCATGCTATGAGCTGCTGTAGCTGAGCCATAAGCTGAGACGATCAGACATATGCTTTGTCATGGTTTAGGACCTTAAGATGATGAGAGACCTTCCGCAGGTCGCACCCATCACTGGATCCTTGAATTATACTGGTAGGCTACGCAAGAACGAAACATAACGAACTCGCATGACAAACTCCAACAGCCTGCCAGAAATCATGCTTTATGTGGACTGTCTCCTCAATTGAGTCCGGGCATCAAGGCTCCAGTACTACAGTGCCTGCGCTTCATTGGCTACTTGGCACCATAGAGATTGCTGGCCTTGTTGCGTCGGGCTGATAGCAACCCTGTCCGTCACTGTGCCATACTCCTCTTTCTGGGCAGGCAGTGTGTTTGGTACTAGCTTTGCAGTTGAAGTTTTTCTCCCAAGGTGCCGTGGGGTCATTTCATGCGAATGTGTGATCATGCTATGTGAGAATCACTACTCCCCTTCAATTGTTGGAGCAATCGTGCGGTTGGAAATTGTGGAAGCACGTGGGAGACTGTTCCTGAAGGATGTTTTTAAACACCCATGTGATTGAAGCGCAGTTGGTGCTGGCCTCTTGTCGAAAACACCGCCTGCAGCGTGGCCAGTCCGCGAGGCAGGTGGCAAAAACGGCATGCCGTGAGAGCCTATATAGCGTTTCTTCCCGGTCACATGTGTGAGAGCCTGTGCTACGAGCGCGCTTTTCTGAGATGCTGCTCAGATCTGGCTGGTGGAATCTAATACCCCATTCAAAGATCTCCGTTCAGCTCACTGGTTGGCAAGACAGCCGAGGTGGTTCAGATCCCATTCTTTGCTGCAGCTTTTCTTCAAGGTGCGGGCGCTTTCGCTCTTGTGATGCGTAATTAATGTTAATGTGGAGAGCTGAAAAGGGGTTAGCTGGATTCGGAGCCTGACGCGCGATGTGCAGTTGAACGTGCTCAAGTCTTCGTGTATGCAAACAGGCAGCCTGGTTCTTCCCGTTGGGGCCGCTCAACCAGCATGTCAATCAGTCAGATTGACTTGAGTCACGGCACAGCACATGCCATGTCAGCATGTTAAAGAACTTCAAGAATGAATGTTCAACTTTACGGGTACGATAGGTGCACATTTGGTGCACCCGCTGCGCCCAGACCTGTGTGATGAGTCTGAGGCAGTGCACTGGACGTGGCTTTTTACTGCAGGTTTTGCCGCTTGCCTGCAAGATGGGAGCTCACTTTTTTTACATACACCATCAACTGCCCACATGAGGCGTATTTCTTACAGCCGTCCACCCAGCTGCAGGCATTGAGGCTTTGTGAGATGTGCAGCTTCGGCTCAAGTGTCAGAAGCTTGGAAGACAGAACCTAGACTCCGAGGTCGGCTTTAGCCTTCAAAATCATGTTCGAATCTCAGCTTTTGCCTATTTTCTCACTTGCTGCGTTGAGCCTTGAAGAGTTGCGTTTGCAAGTTGCTAGCTGGGTTTCGGGGCGGCTCGTCAATCCGTAGGGTTTGAGCCTGGGGTTTTCCTTGGGTGTTGTGGAGCTACTTTGCTTTATTTTGCTGTCAAGATGCCTTCAAGGTCTGCAACATGTTTCTGCCTGTTTCTGCGAATGGAGATCCTGAAGTTCACAACCAGCCTTTGCAAGACAATACCGTTGTTTGGCAGTTGTTGGGATCCAGGCGCATGGAGCGGCACAAATTTGAGATCCATGCTAAAGTCATGCTAGCAAGTCTTCAGCACTCGACTGCAGCAACTTGGACCCTAAACCCTATAGCCCATAGCCTTAAGCCATCCTAACGCGTAAACATGCTTGTAAGCCTGCACGTGGACCGCATGGCAGTTCTAGTCTGCATAACGTGCTGATTGATTGAGGTCATGTTACTCTCCTGTCACCCTCTCTGTGATGAACACTGCGAAGAGGGCGTTGATCATTTGCCAGAGTCTCAGGTATCTCAGGTCTTTTCTGAGCAGTTCCATGCACGCGGCAGTGCGAACAGAAGTGTTACGGGCTACGTGGTCGCTCTTCGAGTTCTCTCGCATCGCTCGGTGGTTTCTACTGGGAAACTGCACTCCCAGAGTGCATCTCTTGATGCGTCGAAGTCTGCCTCGACGTCATTTACACAGCGTCTACATGGTGTTTTGCATGTTGGCAGGGCTTAAGCCCGTGAGAACTTCATTGGACCCGACTTTGTGGGTGCGTGTGCGTGCGTGCGTGCGTGCGTGCGTGCGTGCGTGGGTGTGTGTCTGTGTGTGTGTGTGTGTAAACTTGACATAGTTTCTAGCTCAGGGGGCTAGCAGATTTCAAAGGTAAAGCGGTTGTGTGTTACGGTGGATGGAGGAAATCTTGCACCGCCTGTGAACCTATTGCTACAGGTTGCACCCACTTCTGGGGACTGACTGATTAAGAAGTGTCGGCCGGCCTTGCAAAAGTGGAGCAAGATTTCCTCCATCCACAGTATGGATGCATCTACAGGACAAGCTACAGGCGCTTTGGGTAGACCGGGTAGACAACAGACGTAACATGGCATTCGAAGCTGTGGGTCAGGAATGGCTCAAGTTGGGCACATTTTGGCACCCTCTCTGGTGGGGACTTCGGGGGTCAGAGTATGCCTTGATGGCCGCAGTGTTGCTTGGCGAGCCGATGCTCACACTCACCACAGCCCCGCTGGGTGGGCATTGTCGACATTCACTCTGCCGCACACGTGCAAGCGAAGAAAGCTGGAACACAAGTGCAAGTACAGAGTTGTTTGGGTTGTTTGGCATTGCAGAAGGCCCCAGGACTTTCCACATAACCCGCTTGTTTTGGAACGCTTGCGCTTCCGCAACAAAGGTGCGGTGCAATTTTGTTCGCTTGGGTTCTGAAAACACATGAACTCGCCGTGTCCACTGTGCATAAGTGGTCTTAGACCATCTTGGACCAACTCATCTCGCCTGCGGCTGAATCTAAGCAGGGCAGGGTCATGAGTTTTACTGAAGTTTTGCTTGAAATGCCTGCAGGTAAAAATTGTAGGGGAAAGGCCCGCCCGCTGGCTGCTGCCGGAAGGCATCTAGTACCCCCTAGCACGCAGTCTAGCTACATGCCTCCCACATCCTTCGATCCCCATACTTCGATGCCAAGGCTTCTCCGCTCTCTATTTCGGCAATGTCATTACTGACACAGCCTTGCGGGGACTCCCAGCCAGCCTGACAGCATTCCGTAGTGGTCGTAAAGCGTTACTACTCCTCACAGCCGTGAGACCGCAAAGGTGAAGCAAATTGTACATTTGAGCGATGCCTTGCTTGAAGACAGGGCGGACAGCTAGCCTGGCTGGGGCCATTGACACCAGTTAGAATCAATGGCTCGTTCGTCAGGTGTGGCACTGCGGCAGCCTCGGCGAGGGGGTGTGTTCGCCTCCAACAAATTTCCTTCGGTTCAAAGGGATGACAGATGGAAGAAGAGCAATTTGGCAGATTAGACGACTACTAAGGTCGTCACACTGCTGGGCAGTGGTTTATACAGCTGCTCGGAAGCAGCTGTTGCGCTGTTGTATCATCGGGACGAGGAGACGTGAGAAAAAGACGAATTCTGCACGAAGACATGAGTTGTTGTTTGCTTGCTCGCCTGCCTGCCTGCCTGCGAGTTTGTGCGTTTGTTGGATTGATTATCGTTTGATTGTTTGATTGTTTGATTGTTTGATTGTTTGATTGTTTGATTGTTTGTTCCCCACCTTCGCTGTGGGGTTGTTAGATTTTAAACTCAACTGTTCTTCTCGTCCGCAACTCTTCTCCTCGCCCGGTCTACTCCTAGAGACTCCCCGGAGTGCCCAACCCCAAAAGAACTGGCTGGAGTGCCCAATCCAGAGACTTCCGAAATGCCCAACCCCAGAGACTTTCTGGAGTGCCCAACCCCAGACACTCCCTGAAATGCCCAATTTCAGAGACCTATCCCCAGAGACCTAACCCCAGAGACTCCCTGTGGAGTGCCACCCCAGAGAATCCCTGGAGTGCCCAACCCCAGAGACTCCCTGCAGTGCCCGACCCCAGAGACTCTCTGGAGTGCCCAAATCCAAATCCCTAAGGTGGGGATGTTCGAAGTAAAAAAATTTAGTTGTTGTGGTTGTTGTGGTTGTTTGTTGTTGTATTGTTGTCGTGCCTGTCCTTTCGCCCAAGGTTATCTGAAGCCCGCAACTCAGCATTCAGCGCATACTGCAGCTTGCCTGTCACGTATGACAATGCCACTGCTATGGCATGCATGTGTTATCCATGGTCGGAGGTGGGGCGATGCCACGTGTAAAGTGTAAAGGAATTCAGCATTCACAGTCGAAACAACCAACCTGCTCAGTGTGTAGGACGGGAGGGAGGGCGTTGAGGCAGCGTGAATTGGCGTGGGTAGCCAGAAGGCGTCCATTTTGCACAGCCTCACTCACGAGCCCCAAGATTGCGAGGTTAGAGGCCGAAAGCCTTTTCTGCATGCGTGTCTTATTGAACTGCGGGGGAGCTCAGGAGCACTATCCGAGCTGCTCCGAGTGTCAAAGCTGGAGGGAAGGAGTGGCCTTGACAATTGCCAGTTGATGCACTAGTTGCACTGTTTTTGAAGTGGGCTGAGCTCGCTAGTGTTCCTTTTCCTCGGTGCCTAGAGAGAAATAGAGAGAAAGAGTAGCCGGTTTGGCTCAACCTTTCCAGGCGGAACCGGATGTTGACGTGGGGTATCGGGACTACCCCTGAATGGCTTATAGAGCCTAGGGGGCACGCGACCTTGTGAAGAATTCTTTGGGACGGGGTACTGGTATGTAACAGGTTCTGCCCCAAAACCGTGGCCATTGGCAGGATAGGGCAGAGCTCCCCACTCCGCTTCTTCCCACCACAAGCCGAACTGCATAGGGCGAGCTTCTATGCTACTCATACAGTGTTCTGATGATCTGCTCGATGCAATATCACGTTCGACCGTCGGTTGGGGTCATGGGGATGCTATGTTCCTACATAGTAGGGCTGCCCACAAGGCCTGCATGACCTGCCAACCACACGTAACCCCTGAACTCAAGTGGCTAGACCACCTCGAGAGAGAAGCGACGCTCAAACATGCAAAAGGAGGGGCAGTGGGATCGCCGGCTGTAGACAAGCATCTTCTGCCCGGAAGGGTTCCCTCAAGCCTGGCACAAGACGAATACCAAGAACAAGCGCAACAACAACGCGCTCTCCTTTCGAATTGCAGACAGAGTGCTGTTTAGTGCGACTGTCCGCTTTCGTCTCATGTCATTCCAGCATCACATAGTTCTTCGGTGGTGTGCTATACCAAAATCTTGACACGCAGCGTTTGGGCCTCACGACAGCACTTCAGCCTGCAAGGACTACAAATCGGAGGAGAGCTCCTCCAAGGCCGTGGCCGTGCTGACGACCAAGGACAGATTGAAAAGAGCAGGTTCAATCCCCGAAGCTCTGCATTGACAGCTCGGCAGAGATTCGGCGGAGATGGGAAGGGAGCATGGGGGCGCATGGGGCGCCTCGCAGAGAGAGTTTCGGAGCCGCAGGCCTCGGGCAAGACTGTTTCGAGCGCAGGACAGTCGCATGCGCTCCAGGCTTTGCGGACAGAGACGTGGGAGGTGCTGAACTAGAGATTTGCACGAGATGTACTGCGTGATAGACCTGTGGACATGGAGAGTTTTCGCATGCTGCCGGTGATAGTCACTGGGCACCAGGCAAAGTGGCGCAGCACAAGGCAGGTCTGGACAAGCCATTCCACTTCTGGCATTTTCTGAGCTCTTTCTGCTTCGGCACAGTATCTTTCGACAACCAAGGATTGTCAGCTTGTGCCAACGTCATGCTACGTTCTGTCTCAAGACATCACTGACACACAAGCAGTCGAGCAAATTACTGCATAGCACAACACGTGGAGGCTTCGTCATGAGTCGCAAGACCATTGAGCCGCCATTTATCCCTCAAGAGTCCGTCAAGCAAACCGCAGAATTCATCAAAATGCCTTGTCGGAATCATGGAGCCAACATGGTTCCAGAAGCTGGAGTCCAACCCAACAACACCGCAGCAGTGTCTTCGCAGGCATTTCATGCTTCACTCTGCAAATGTGCGCAACGGCTCCCTGCATATTGCCTGCTGAAACTTAATGGGCTTGATATGCTTAGCGCCACTTGGTGACTCAAGCAAGTAACAGTGGACAGTAGCCGTTGCTTCCTACTTTCTGAGACGAGGCGACCAGCGCGAGCAACAAGATGGAAGGTCCAGCTAAGTCTGTTTTTGAACGGCAGGTGCTCTGCGTCTGCAAGCGTTGCCAGTGCCTCGCTTGGCAAGGCGGGATACACAGCATCCACGCACCCGCAGCCCGGGCATCCCGGCCCGGCAGCAGGCCGCCTGATGCATGCGGATGCCACATGCACGACTCGATGCACGACTCGATGCACGACTCGATGCACGACGGTTCACGACTGCAAACTGGGAAAACACTCCAAACATCACGGGGGCGGTCGTTCCTCCGAGGTCATCCAAGATCAGGCGACAACGAGCTGCCGCATCACCTCCAAGCTTCCGGGAGACCTATGCAAGTTGTCAGCTCAGGCTTTTCATGGTGCCTTGAGAGTTGCTGTTGTGGACCTGCTGCTCTTCCCAACCTGCCTGAAGCTGGTTGCAATGGTACCTACGAAGCAACTTGAGAAGCACCAACGAAATTCACCCAGAAGTGTTCTGCATTTGTAGTCCATGATCATGTCCTTGATTCGTGCCTGTCTGCAAAGGTTTTCACTTGCGGTTGCGGGCACCTTGGCGCAGAGCTGTTGTGCTCACTCTTGCTGCAGCGCGGCATTCGCAGCGTCCTGGACGTGCGTGAGCTGGACCCCGAAATGCGAGAGAACCGCATGAGTTGCATGAGCGCAGCAAGACTTGACTTTAGACTTGCTGATGCGGTGCAGCACAGGACCACAGCACAAAGCGGCCATGGTTCAACAGCGACGTGCCCCTATGCAAGTGTGATTTTGATGCACAGGGTAGGTCAGAATTACCGTCATTTGTGTTCACTCGCAGTCACTGCAGTCCAAGCTCGAGATGTGCACACGTAAACTAAGAAAGGTAGCATGGCGTACAAGACTCTTATCAGTATCGCGTCGGCACAGATGAAGACAACCTAGGTCCTGGCAGAGACCATGGCCAACTTTGGCTTGGAGTACAGGCCCCCTGGCCTTCTTGGACCCTGTCAGACCTCGGCCCGTCGCATGTTTAAATTGGGGCACTACACTCAGTACATACTAGGCTACCAGAATCACCCGTTCCATGGAGCAATTTTCAGATATCCAATACATGGCTAAATACAGAACTTTCAGAAAGATGCCTTAGGGACCAAGGCTGCCCCCAAAGCCTTGGCTTGCGTCTTGTGGTGTGGTTTTTCGAGCTGAAGATAAGCAGAAGCGATATGCTTTGTGTTGGCATCACGGTATCAGACTTGTTCACGCCTGTAAGCAAGCAAGCTGCAGGTTTCCACGGTGTGTGCCAGTGAAGTTCAGCAATACAAGTCGCGGAGTGCAAATCAACCACCAAGTGAGAAAAGTTGTTACCCCAAAAAATATGCTTTCGAAGTCCCGGCATTACTTGTGCACGTTCGTGTTGTCAATTGCTTCATTCTCGAGGTACTCCGGCCAGCAGGAAGAAAACGTTTGGGCGGCCGTGGTCATTTCAGCTCTGTTGGACGGCATGCTGCACTCGATTTCGCGGTGATGCCATGCAACCGTTCCAGGTCGAGGTTCATGGACTAACCATGGATTCACATAGATTCACATAGGAATCCAGGAGCTTCGAGAGATGTATCTGCAGATAGATAGATGTATATATATATATGTATACATACACCTATACGGGCTTAGCTAGGGTTTAGGGTTTCAGTTGGGGGGGGGGGGGAGGGGCCGAGAACGCACAGCACAAAACGCTCAAACCAACCCACACCCACACCACGGGGTAATTGGGGGGGGGGGGGGGCCCGGGACCCAGCCGAGGGCGCAACCATGTGAACATTCTAAAGCCGAAGAGCGGGTCGCATGTGAGGTCATTGTCAGTTGTAGACGAGTTGTGTGCCGTGGAAAGTAAGAGCAAGTCGAGGAGCTGCCGCCGCCTCGTTGCTTGCTGGGCCTGCGATCTTTGGCGAGGGTGCCTTGGCAAGTCATGGCAGGTGCATCCAAGAACTCAGCAATCCGTGTACACCTCTGCATCGGAAGGAGTGCCCCCGGCTTCGTTTAGCACAGCATCTCACAGCCCTTGGCTCAGCTGTGGAATTTCTCGTGCGCCATGTATATCCCGTATGCGATCTTCATTATTTTAACCATCGCCCACCTGTTGATGCTTTCAGCATGGAACGGCATGACAGCAATCAGCTTCACAAAGGGTTGTGTAAGGTTCTGTGAGGCTTGAGGCGGTTCCCGCCATTGCACGACCCACTCCACGCCGCCAAACTGTGATGCGATCTTGGAGATTTTTGCTGCCGACATAGGCAGACTCCCACCCCTGGCTGAGCTTAAAAGTCGGAAATCCAGACCACAGCCTCATCCAACGGTTTACTGAACAGAGCAAGCGTTGCATTCGGTTGGAGGAGTTCCTGGCGTTGGAGCGCCATTCATCTGCCATTCAGCTCCAAAGCTGCCGATTGGGAGCGCATTACGTAAAACCTTGCCCCTCCCCCCCCTCGAAAACAACACACGCACATACGCACACAGAAAAACGCATTAAGGTCGGCTTCACTGTTCCGGTTCCCTCCATGCCACTCTATGCAGTACAACACGGCAACGGCTACAGGAAAGGATGTTCAAGAAGTTAGCTCGAAGCAAGCGCATAGAGTTGTTTTCACTAGTGTGTACTTTAAATGCTATAAAGTAGAGTACGGCCTCCACGTCCTCGAAAACTCGAGCGCTGCGTGGGGCGAGCAGTGCGAAATAGAGTCCATCCTTCCCGAGCGCTGATATGAAATCGCCACAGACATGTGGCTGACATGCGCATGCGTCGCTTGGAAGCAGATCGGTCACTTCAAGCCATTCAATGGCTCCAGGAAATGGAGTGGGAGGTCATCCATCTGCAGCCGTGTTCAGAGGCCAGGCTTGCCAGAAAAGAGAAAATAGAGAGCAGGTGCTTGCAGAGGACTGGATGTAGGGCTTATGTCATTTGGCCAGCTGGGTGCCTGTTCTGGTTGACGGGCATCATTTCTTCGCAGACGGGTCCTCCGCTCTTCGGATGATGTGACGGTTAGTTTGCTTCCCCCGCTGCAGGCTCCGCCTGAGCTCAAGCTTGTTGAGTACCCGCACACCGAAGCTGGACAGCAGAAGTGTGAAACAGGAACCAGGTGCTTGCACCTTGAAGAGTTGTGAGTAATGGCAAAGAATCTAGGATCAACAGAAAGGAGGATAGCAGGAATTATAGAAGGAAGTTGAAGAAAGGAAGGAGCCCCCCCCCCCCCACCCCCGACAAACACAACCAAATCCAAGGCTGCATGAGCACTGCCATACGCTGCCCAGACCCAACATCTCGGCGTGAATACGCTTAACCAGGGGACCAATTGGGCCTTCGAGGGGCTTCGCTCCGTGCATGTTCCAATCGGCGCTCTCGCCTGCGCATGCTCGTCATGAAGTGCAGAACTGTGGCTTTTGGACCCCGGAGCCCGGACCTTTCTCCAGCCTGAGTCCCGTGTGGACGTGCCTCGTGCGTAGCATTTAGTTTCAATGTCGTGCATGCCCTGAGCGCATCCCATGCTGAAATATGCACTCGCCGTCAATGAGTCAGCTTGGAGGTGGTGATGGATCCGGGGAAAGGGGTGCACTTGGAATGCTCTTGAGGTGGCTTTACCGTCGAAGCTAACATGCACTGGATTCTGAGTTCTCGTCGAACTGGAAATGACAGTTTTTTCTTGGGGGAGGGGGGAGTGCTGCAGGAAGAAGAAAAAGGGCATTGTAAGGGGGAGTGGTGTTGTGGGGGAGAAAGGGCGGGCGATAGGTTTTTGGTGCCTCCTTTTTGCTAAGATCTACAGATTTATTTGGTTTTGTTGTTTGCACTGAATTGACCCCTTCCTGACACTGCACCATGTGATCATGTGGCTTCCACCTCAGAGTAGACCGGCCCAGGAAGTCTATGCCCGGCAAGAATACCTGGCCGAGCACATCTGCAAAGTGACTGCCGGCCTGAAGGAGCTCTCGCGATGCATGCACATGCATCCTGCTGAAGCAGGCTTCTCCTGAAGTTACAGTTTATCAGTAGTTCCAACGTGTGCTTGATGTGAGGCCGAAATGGGGCTTTCCACCAGCTGGCAGCAACGGACACGTGGCAGACGTTCAGGTGAGAGGCAATTTGGGCACGGCATTCTTGCAGAGGAGCCGAGATTCAAAGCAACGAAAAACTTAAGAACTTGCCTGTTTGAGATGCGCTTTCCGTAAGGATACAGGCACGTTATCGTGTTCCTTGGCTGGACATTGACATGTCTGTGACAACTGCGAAGTCTTGGATCCACTGGCAGTGTGCATTTTGCCTCGTTCATGTCACAGTGCGTGCAGTTGATTTATGCTTGCTCCCCTCGGGGTGACCCTTCGCAAGGTCATTTCTTGGGACAAGTGGGACGCAACCAGAGCCTGATCTGCAGAATGGTCTTGATTCTGATAGATTCTGACATCTCAACTTCGGCGTATTTCGGCGTGGTGATAGGTGGAACTGAACTTGCACTTTGGAAGTTAAGGGCGCTTTCCGGCACCTGGGGAGCCAGCACTCGTGATCGCCTTGCCGTTCGCAGCTTGGACCAGCCGTCTGATGCCCGCGAAAGCTGGGCTCCCCAAGCCGAGATTGTGCCGATATATTCGAAAGAACAAGTTGCCTGATCGTGCCCGATGTCTGAGGAGACCTCTCTTCTAGCAGCTTGGATATCATGATGACGCGCGACGTTAGGATCTGTTGCCACCTTTGTAGGAGATTGTTGCTGGTTAAGCGCTTCTGTACGCACGGCTTTGATTGCAGAGGGTCCTGGACTGCACCCAAAGCACACAAACTGCAGGGCAGAAGCAATGCTTAGTCAGCTGAGGCGATTCCGGGTTTTCTCACCAAGGAGGAAATCTTCAAACTGCAGCAAGCAGCATTGCCGGGAGCCCTGCACCTGGGACTTGATGGTTTAGGGCAAGGTTAAGTGCACGAGGATCCCTAACAGGGCATGAGGGGCCGATAAGACAAGTTTGGAACCGGCAGGCTGAGAACAATCAGCGTGCCAAGGCACTCCGCCTAAGATGTCCTGAGAGTAGAGTGGTCCCACCCAGGCCCGAACACACTCCGCTGCAACATGCATGATGTCACCTTTGCAAAATGCAACTGGGTTGTTCACCGAATCGGCCCTTTTCGGGCCAGCAGCAGTCACAGGCAAGGCTGGGATACGAGCTCTAAAGGGTGCAAGCTGTCGTGTCAGAAACATCCACTGCCAAGCCATGCGCCACATGATGCCAAACGTGAGATCCGCATGCTTCACTGTTTTTTTTGTTTCCTTCGCACGCACTCCCATGGCATGGCGGCAGAGCGGCTGAGACAAGCTGCTGCTCTGGACCCGGTGCTGGCTTCTGCAGGAGCCAGCACTCAGGAGCGGAAAGAGCAAGAGCTCGTGGCCCGGGGGCTGAGGCGGGCGCCGAGCTGGCAGCAGACCGGCTCGCAGACACAGCGCGAGCTCCTGGCGGCCGCGCACAGCGCCGAGGAGCGGGAGAGGGCCGGGTGGGTGCTCTCCACGCAGGACGTGGAGCAGCACATGCCGTCGCTGGACCTCGACAGACATGCTGCCCATGCTGCTGGCCCGGCTGTAGCAGAAGGAGCAGAAGAAGAAGAGGTCCTGGAGCAAGACGAGGAGCTGGAGTCCGACGCCCCGTCAGGCTCCATGCCTCGTGGTGGGGTGGCGAGAGCCGCTACGAGGCAGCCTTACTGTATCGTCTTGGGCGAGACGGCTGCGCCTACTCCTGAGACTCCTGGGACGCCGCCGGGGCCGACTGCTGCTACGGCTGTTCCTGAAGGCGAAAGAATAGAGGCCAAAGCCGAAGCTGAGGCTCCTGGGCTGCCGCCGGGACCTGCCGCTCCTGTTCTGGAAGAAGGTGGAAGAAGGGAGGCCTTGGAAGAGGAGCCTCCTTTGAAGCAAGAGAACAGCCTGGTCCTCACGATGGTCACGCTCACAGAGAGCCCAATGGAGGCAGTGGCTGCCTTAGGCGAGCGACTGGTGGGCCAGCTGCTACAGACGCAGAACACCTTGCTCCAGGAGATGCGGCAGGCCCACGAGGCGCGGGAGGACTCACTCCTGCAGCAGCACCTGCAGCGTGAGGACGAGCAGGAGAGGCGGAGCCGCGTCAGAGAGGCGCAGCTCGCCGAGAAGCTCCTGGAGTCCGAGGTCGCCCGGGCCAAGCTGGAAGAACAAGTGCGGCTGCAGGGCAAGCTGCTGGAGTCCGAGGTCGCCAGGGCCAAGGTGGAGGAGCAGGTGAGGCTGCTGGAGCTGGCTAGAAAGGAGGGCGGCGGCAGTTCCGCGCCTTCAATGGAGGTCCCCACGAAGCTCAAGGCCGAGGCCCCGATCTCCGGCAAGCTGCTGCTGGTGTGCGACGAGCCGGCCTCGCTCCGGCTCATCGCGCCGCTCTTCACCCAAGCCCAGGACTGCGGCTGGGGCATCAGCACCTTGAACAGCTCCGGCCACGCTGTCTTGGCCCTCCCACCAGAGATCGAAGAGGCCTGGCAGGCCTTGGACCTACAGGGGCTCTTCGACCGCCGCGGCGAGCTCACCGAGAGGGAGCTCTTGCCTCTCGCAGTCCCTCAGCCCTGGGCACTCTGCGGGTAC